AAACTTGGGGGGGCTAAAATGCTCCAGGAAAAGGATATGGGTCAAAGTGACCATTTATACAAACGTTAGGGGTAATTTTGTTATTATGCCAAATATCAATTAAATATCAAAATGTATCAATTTAGGATATGCTTAGAACTTTTTTATTTTATTTGTTCGAATCTAAAATATCTAAAGAGGATAATATTTCTTTAATCAATGAGAGCATTTGATGATTTTTTTATTTAATTAAACTTAATAAATAGTTAAACACAAACTAATAGAATAAATATTTTTGAAATGTGAAATATTAAAAAGAATATTGTTTATATTTTATAATTGAACTTCTTTTAATTTTTAAATTTAATAAAGGAGCTGTAGGGCAGCACAAGTTTTATTATATAATAAAAATGGATAAAATTTGATATAATAACAATAAATAAATATATAATATATTTAACCATACTCAAAATATTTGGACGATAATAAAAGGGTAAATGACATATTTAGTACCTAAATTATTGGTTTTGGTATGTTTTACTATCTAAATTTTTAATATTTTCAAAATTATACCTAACATTTAGTTTTTGTTTCATTTTAATACCTTATTGTTAATAACTTAACACATTTAGACCTAAACTATCAATTTTAGTCTATTCTAGTATTTAACTTTAAAAAAATCAAAATTTAACGTTATATTTTGAATGGGGTACTAAAATGAAATAGAAACTAAAGTTTAGGCATGGGTTTGAAAAAATTGAAAGTTTAGATACTAAAATGAACCAAAACTGATAATTTAGGTATCGAACATATAATTTACCGTAATAAAAATGCATATGGGGAGTAGAATATTTAGATTGAATAATACTAATGCCATTGGGAATGAACATCTTCTTTGTCTATATGTTCTAATTTCATGGAAGATTGTGTTTTTATTACTATCTACATCTAATTTGTTGATTGATAGTAGTAAATTCATAAATATTAAATAGAATGGGTATATATATATATATATATACATATTAATAACATAAATTTTTTAAAAGTGGATAGGTAAAAGTAAAATTTTAGGGTAGACACAATCAGCAAAATGAATAATTAACAGCAGAAAATTCAGATTTCTAGATGTGCATTTGTCTACTTGAATAAAGGGTGCATATTTCATTATTGATCGATTAATTCAGACTTGATATTATATAGATTTATTATGGGGATAATCCTTTCGACCCAATTTTCTCATTCACAACGTCATAATTCGAACACTTCGTCTTACTTAAAACCTAGCATCTAATCTTAGGGTAAATTATAGAAATGATCTATGGATTATAGGATACTACTTTATTAAGTCCCTCGATTATTAACAGTTATAAAATAGTCCCTTGACTATAGATTATTGCTTTGTCGAGTCCCTCGACCACTAAAGGTCACAAAATGGTCATCTAACTATTCATTATTTTCCAAATTTATCCTTTTTCGTTAAAAAATTTGACAACATCACGAGCGGAACGTTAACATGTTGACTGTGATATGATAAAATCTGATCATAGAATCTCAAGCGACTTTCATATCTCAATCATCATGTCAACGTCCAACTTAGACAACCGTCAAATTTTTAACGGGAAATGATGAGTTTGGAACATAGTGAATAATCAGGTAACTATTTTATAACTTTTCATGGTCAAAAGACTTGAAAATAGTAACATTCTATAGTTAGATGACCAGTTTGTAACTTTTAATAGTCGAGAGACTTAATTAAGTAATACCCTACAGTCGGAGACCATTTGTGTACCTTACACCTAATCTTATTAGACAAAATGATAATTGATAAAGAGATGATTTTTACTTTTTTAAACGCTCGTTAAACAACAAACTAATTAAGTATTAAATTAAATTACATGTGTCCCCAAGCCAGAAAAGGAAGCAATGGTGGCCTATCCAATGGTGCCGATATGCTTGTCTTTGTTAAACACTTTTGTAAGAAGGAATATTCATTTACATGTAATGACACCAAGATGTAGTTAAAGGACATTATGAATTTTTGATGCAAATTGTCTGAAACTGCAATGTGCAAACATTAGAGGGAACAAAATGTCTGTCCAAACTTTGAATTTTGAACATCCTTTCTCACCATTTCCTTATTAGGGCAAAGATGGGTAAACAGGGTTTGTAATTGTCTGGAGTTATCGGTTTTACCTCAAACGATCGAGATCGAATCACGAATCTTTCGAGATCATAATATAATCTCATCGTTTTATTAATCGAAAATAAGTTTTAAGAGAATCGAAAGAGGTGAGAACATCCGTTCAGTATTGTTTATATAAATCGATTTAATTAAGTTTAGGGTTTCAAGTTTCGAGTCCGGGTACGTAAAAATAAACCGGCCTTTTATCATATAATAATATAAGTTGGCAACGCTTCCTATTGACGTGATATCTCCACATATAATGTCACATCATCAAAAAAATTAAATTATTTTTAAATATATTTTATAAGTATATATTTAGTTTATTGTAATTATAGCCAACTAATATTTTTCATCCAACCAAGGGACATTTGCTCTAAAATAAAACGTTATGGGCTAAAATGTTTCAAAAAAAATGATAAGGGGCAAAGTGATCATTTACGCGAACGTTGAGGGTAATTTTATTATTATGCCAAAAATATATATATCAACACAATACTTAAGGTTGTTTCTCTTTAAATCACATCATGACTTTAACTGCTACGCACAACAATATTATCAATTTAAGATAACATTAGGCAGATAACATTATAACAGCACAGGGACTAAATTGTATGAAACTAAAGTAGAGAGCTTAAAGGTAAATTTTAGCATAGTCGAGGCACTAAAAATACAATATGCCCCTTTTCTTCACTCGGTGGCTTATGGGAAAGTCAGATACAAGGTAAACGAAACCCATTATTTTCTTCTGGGTCTTCATTCAACAATGTACTGCTAAAGAGGTTTCTTTCAAATGGTAAAACCTATGTTGGATGTTCAAAGAATAAGATAATTTATACCTAAAGTAGAGACGTAAAATTTTATGTTACGGTTAAATTTACCCGGGCCTCCTTCAGTTAAAAAAATGTTTAAGGGTTACTTTTATCTTTATAGGATACTCAATTTATCATTTTCACTCCTATAAATATTTTTACATCAGTTTAATCCTTAAAGTTATTTAAGGACATCATCATAAATCTCGAAATCCATTTGACTAACAGAACCGTTAGTCTTTTGCGTTTGTCGAAGCCGACAATTTCCACGTTAGCAAATATTCAAATACGTATAGAGTAGCGAAAAGAAGAAGAAAACAAGAAAGAATCCTGACAGGTAGGGCAGGATGAGATTGCCAAAAACTGGAAAGGAATATGTCTTGAGGAGAGAAAGAGATTTTATGGTTACTGTAAGAAGATAATACGTTTGCAGCAGATGCATGCATGCATGCATGATGATGATGAGGTTTGAACAGGCCATGGGTAGAGCCATCCATGCAACTTTCGTGACCACTCCAAAAACAGCAAAAACACAGGCAAACATGATGATGGAATCACACCCCATGGACCCGAGTCGGACGGATTTTGATGCGATTTGATTTTATTAGGTCAATTTTCTAAAAAACTAATTGAGTTCGAGTTGAGTTTTTTAAAAGATAATAGATTCGAGTTTAGGTTGAAAAATATTCAATATGTCCCAAAAAATAATGTAATTATACATTATTTCCTTATATACAAAATAATCTTCATCTGTTGACGACTTTATCTGATATTGCAGCAATCACTTGATTTCCTTATATATTTTTTAGAACAGTGTTCTCTTAATTCGTTTTCAATCACAATATTTCACTAATTTAACTCAGAGATGGACCGAGGGGTATTAGCGATGTCGGTTCCCTTAAAATTTTAAATTATTTTATATTAATTATTTTCTATTGATAATATGATTTTGTACTCCTAAAATTTTGATATAATCACTTAAAATTTAAGCCATTTAATATAGAATCATGCGTACATTTCTGTTCATATAAGAATTTATATTTTTTTATAATTGTGGAAGTTATGTTACATGTATTATTTTTAACAAAATATAGATATTGATACATATATTGTATTAAAAATAATAATAAATTTATGTATTAAATTACATATTTTAATATACATATAGGGCTAAAAATCGATGTTTGATTACAAAACTACCCTTCACAATAGTGGAAAACGAATGCACCATGTGGTCACAAAAGGAATTTAATACCAATACAAGTAGGTGTTTGACTTAGACCACCAAATAATGTTTTGTTCCCTATATATATATATATTAATTAAAGGATTAATCGAGGGAGGCAGGTGAGTACAGTCACCCCTGAAAATTTAAAATTACTATATATTTTAGATTTTTTCTATATATTTTATTTAAAATATATTTTTGTCTCCCTAAATTTTATAAATTAAAGTTCGCCATCCCATATAAATTTTTTCATATGTCCCTAATAACATTGATTATCATCCTAACACCGCTTGATGTATCAAATAAATATTGATATAATCTAATATAAATATCTTATATTTTAAATTAAAGATAATTATATGTTTTTGCTGTCCTCTCGGTTTTAGGGCTTCGCCCCGATTAATCGTGATCGATTCACGTCGCACACCTGATTTTGATAGGTGAGTCTCCTAATACGTTAGAATTCATAATTTTTAAAAAATAGAATTAAATTAGGATTAGATTGAATATGTATACCAAAAAGGGATCACATATATATATATATATATCTTAATATGGTAGATGGGGTTCAAACATTGAAAGTTTAAGGGCTGCATTCAAAGAACCAAACATATTTAAAGACTAATTGACCACAAAACATCAACATCAGAGATTAATTTAAAGCTACACTTGCTTGACTTGAATCCCACATCGGAGACTAATATAATCCGTTTTGTTTATCTGCATAAACCCTAATAATGTCCAAACCATAAAAAGAAACCACCTTCTTCTTCCTTTTGTAGTTCAAACGATTCCACGTTCAGTATCGGTTAACGACGCTTTGCCTCAGTCCCCGAGTCACCTTTATGTCAGCGTGAGAGAAATCGACTAAACTCGGAACACCGATCTCACCATTGATGAATTCATAAGGGAACTCGAAGCTAAACTGTTGGTGGTGATGATCGTCGACCAGAATACGGCCCGTATCTTCAGTGTATCGGTTACCGGGGGAATCCGACACGGCGGATCTTTCTTGGGACGGCACGACAACGACGTTCTTGTGACTGTTTTCTGGATTTGGACACGTGGGTGACGGAGAAAACAGCATGACTTGGTCCAAAGACAGGCTCTGAGAGGTACCACTACTGCTACTGACAAAGAATCCATGGCCAACATCAGATAAAATCGGCAGTGGGGTTGAATAATGAGGCAACGAAACAGCAGCAGCCTCTGGTTTTTGAGCACCACTGATCATAAGACTGCCATTGTTGTTGTCGGTATTAAAGCTCGATAATTTCCCGGCGAGTAACTTCTTCTTCAACCTCGTGTTCCAGTAGTTCTTCACGTCGTTGTCGGTTCTTCCGGGGAGCTGCGACGCTATCAGAGACCACCTAAAAAACCCCAAAAAACAACCACAAGTTAGCTGTCCGGTATCTGAATAGCGGCCTCTATATAACAGTAATTGTACCGTCTTAAATTGTTATCGCACGATCGCGATATCCGTTATGTCCAAAGACAAAGACAAAGGCAACTTGCCTGCTTCCCATTTGACTGTAGAGAGCGCTTATAACGTTGTCTTCTTCTTCAGTAAAACCTCCATGTTTGATGTCTGGTCTGAGGTAATTAAGCCACCGCAACCGGCAGCTCTTGCCGCATCTCTTTAGACCTATAAACAAAGGACCGGTCACCGGTGTCGTTAGTTTCTTGCAGGGGAAGTTAGCGATAATGTAAACTAAAACAGCTGGGGGGGAAACCAGTGAGAAATCTGTGAAAGCCTAGTTTTTTTTTTGGTACCGGCTTTAAGGGGCAAAGCGATCCAGTTGCCACCGGTGCCGTGGGTCTGAAGGTAGTTCTTGAGGGTGGCGTCTTCTTCGGGAGACCAAGGGCCTCTCTTCACATTTGCTTTGTCACAGCATGGAGCTCTTCCCATGGCTGTCGAAGAACAACTGATAGAGATGAAGGCTTTTCAAAAAAGATTTTGAGGAAAAGGGAAACAGTACTGGGACTCTCATGGTGAAGATTTGGGGTTTATAAAGTTGGTGGCTTCTTTTTTTCAACTTGACTGGTCAAATTTGGTTTGGATCCTTGTACTATGCTCAAATTTGGAATTTAGTTCTTATAACCCTTTCTATTCATCTAGTAGGGATGAAAATTTGACCCGAAATTAACAGATTCCGATATGATAGGGTTGAATTTAAAAAAAAGGAAATCAGGTTCGGATGAGTCGGGTCAGATTTTCTAAGGGAGCGAGGTCGGGTCGGGTTTGAATGAAGAGTGAAAAAACTCCAATCTAACCCTACATGGGGATAATAATATAATTTCTTTAAAAAAATATTATTATTTAATTAAGTCCTTATTTTATACCAGGTCAAGTCATATTTATACTCTAAAAATTTGGGTTGGGTCAGAGTCAAGTTGAGTATATATATATATTTATTTCTCGGGTCGAAAGGGTTGGATTGAGGATATATAATTTTCGGGTCGGATCTAGTTCAAGTGGAGGATACATATTTTTCAAGTCAGGTCAGGTTGATAAAAAATCCAACCCGATCCGTTGCCATCCCTAATTAGGAGTGAGCAAAACGATATTCTACTAAAAAATTAAAAATTTCCAACTCGATTGAATATTAAAAAGAATTTGACTTGACTCGACTTGTAATTTCATGAACTGAACTAAAAAAATTTCGAGTTATAAAATATGACTCGAATAATTAAAAAAATTAAAAAAATTTAGTAATTGTTTTCAAGTTCGAGTTGAGTCCATCGATTCTATATGATATGTATATATCACATGTGAATTTATATATATATATATATATATATATGATTAAATACTATCAAATGAAAGTACATGAACCAAAACCATAATTTCAATATTTGATTTTGGCCCTTTCTTCCTTGCATCTTTCTTGTCTGTTAAGATAGTAGGACTCACTCAACACATTAATATTTATGTGTTGATTTTTAAAAAAAATACAATATAAAGTTTTCATATATTTAAGGTTCATATTTGAGTTTGAGGTTTTAATTAAGTTAAGATTTTTTTTTCATTTCAAGTTTTTACGAGCTTCAATTCATAGTTTCAAGTTTAATTCAAACTTAAAAAATTTAGACTCGTGAGTCTTCGAGTTGAGTCGAGCTCAGCAGCACTTAAGCACAATTCTGCTAGTTTATAGCCCTACCAACTAGATTTGTAATCTTATGTTCTCTATCCTTCTTGAAGGAATAATTTAATTAGGATTTTGAGTAAATCAGAAAATGTTTAGGGAAAAATTGGTCTAATTTAAGGGAATTTTACCACAATGCATCTTTGATTGCAACCCAATGGTAAAAAGGAGAGAATTTTACCATAATGATTATGTTGATAATGCAGGTTAATTTTGGTTCAAATGAAATGGACCCAATGAGCTTTTACTCGGTTTAACCCTGGTAATGTTTTTGGATTTTAAATTTACTACCCTCTTTTTTCATATCTTAAGAGAAAGAAGAGGTATATTCCCAACTAGTGGTGAGTACTGAGTAGGGATGGGCATTTAAACCCGACCCGTTCGGGTAGGCTTTTTCTAAAAAAAATTTGGGTTCGGGTCGGGTTGTGTTTTTTTATGTGGTGTTCGGGTCGGGTTCGGGTTTAGGGTAAAAAAATCGACCCGACCCGACCCGAAAATATATATTTTTACCCTATATATTTAGGGATAATTACAATAATACCCCTCTATATATAATTTTTTTTCAATTAAGTCACTGTTTTTATTGAATAGTTTTTTTTATTATTTCGGGTCGGGTCGGATTTCTATGTCATATATTCGGGTCGGGTGAAATCTTGTTTTGGTCGGGTCGGGTCTCGGGTGGAGGCTCTCTTGTTCTCGGGTAGGGTCAGGTGGACCAAAAACCCGACCCAACCCGACCTATGCCCATCTCTAGTGAGGGTTTTATAGGAACCTTTTATAGAAGAAAATGGTAGGTGTGGCAAACTTCATGATAGCTAGCTGGGATTTTATTATTATTTTTATAAATTATTAATAGGGTAAATTACATTTAGTACTTAAACTATCAGTTTTGATCTATTTTAGTACCTAAACTTTTAAGCTTTTCAAAATCATACCTAACATTTAGTTTTTTTGTTTCATTTTAGTATCTCGTCGTTAAAAATTTAATGCGTTTAATACCTAAACTATTAGTTTTGATACCTAAACTTTTAATTTTTTTTAAAAAACTTAGCTTTAAATTTTGAACGGGGTACAAAAATTAAATAAAAACTAAAATTTAGGTATGGTTTTGAAAAATTGAAAGTTTAGGTATTAAAATGGATCGAAACTGATAATTTGGGTACTAAACATGTAATTTACCCGTATTAATATTTTAACAATAAGTTGGAATAATAATTAAATTATATATATATATATATAAACATTTATATGATACATTATATATAGTTCTCAAATTAAAATTTTGATAATCAAATGATTAATTGTATTAAATATTCCTAAACTGTTATTCTTATTTTAACTTGGTCATCACACAATCTTATCGAGTCCTCAAACTATAATATCATATCAATTCAATCTTTTCATAAATTAAATTAGGGTAAATTATGTATTTAGTACCTATAATATTAGTTTTGGTTCGTTTTAATACCTGAACTTACAGTTTTTTCAAAACAATACCTAAAGTTTAGTTTTTATTTCATTTTAATACCCATGTTCAAAATTTAAAGTTAAGTTTTAGAAAAAAAAGAGAAAGTTTAGGTACTAAAATGGATAAAAAATGATAGTTTAAGTACTAAATGTGTTAAGTTTTTAAAGGCGATGTACTAAAATGAAATAAAAACTAAACATGAGAAATGATTTTGGAAAAAAATAAAAATTAGGTACTAAAATGGATTAAATTGTTAGTTTAAATACTAAATGTGTAATTTACCCATTAAATTAACTTAAAATCTACATGTTTATTGGTATTTAACATGGAACCTATCTGAAGCACATGGATCCAATATTATCGAGTTATTGATGGTTAAGGAATTGTTGTTGTCCTTTAATATTTCAAGCTTGTCCTTTAAGATTTCTGGTTCGAGCATCGTATATGCAGGAATATGAACATTTATTATCAAATGAATGAGAGAACATATACTACCTTATATTCATTTCATATTTATAAAAAAAATATATAAAAATATCTATAGTACACGGATCAAATTTACATGTATTTATCAACAAGGTTAGTTCAAGTGATAAACAATTTGATATCACTTAAGTATGTCTCGAATTTAAGTCACTGGATATGCAACAAATCCTCTTTGAAAACCTCATCCACCAAGATCAGGTGTGTGACGCAAGTCGATCCAAATTAATTAGGGTAAAATCCTAGAATAGAGAAGGCAACCAAATAAAATAGAGAACTTTGGTCGGATTTATGAAACAAATCCGTAAAAACGATCGATGGAGGTTGGCGGTGACCGGTGACGGCAGTGAGCAACAATCGACAACAGAGAACTTTAGTCGGATTTACAAATTAAACTGATACTTTATCTAAAATTCAAATGTTAAATTAATATTTAATTCAAATTTTAAGAGCCAAATTAAAAATTAACCCAGTTTCCTAATGTGTCATCGAACTAATGCATTTAACATCTCAATGACTAAAATATTATAAATCCATAATGTAAGTGACTAAAACAGTACTTTTCTAAATCCGGTGACCAAAAGAAAATGCTTAAAAAAATGAAAATGACCATTTCAATAGTTTACCTAAGGTTCTCTCTATATGCAAGTTTCTGCCCAAATCTTTTGCCTTAACAATGATTTGGTTGCCTAGTCTTACTGCAAATTTTCAACTAGACGAACCGCTGGGTCGGAAAATTCCGGCAAAGCTCGAGTGTGTAACCGACGACATGCGAGGTTTAGACGAGCTCGAAAAAGCTAAACCCTATGATTAAACCATTTATTCCATTGAATCCTCGTGAAGGAGACATGCCATCAAAATTACCTCTCCCAATATTACTGGTTTCAACAGTTCTGCTTATAAAAACATTACACTTACAGAGACATATGCTCTCCTATATCGAAAAGCTTCCGAAAAACCCGAAAGGCATTTGTTACAAGAGAAAGCTTCCTTCCCTCCCTCCTCGTATTACTCGATGATGCTCTCCTATGTTCTGCGCACGGAGGTACCAGTGCACGAGTATTATGAGGTGAAATTACGCTCTTCCGAAGCAAATCTAATAGATAATCCAAGGTCAGATTTATGAAATTACCCGAATAGTGTCACTCCTTGTTCAATACTTTAGGAACTTTGATATATGGCTCCTCATAACTTGGAACAGACGCTATCAGTGCTTCCCTGTTTAGAACATATTCGAAGTTAAAACGCCCAAAGAATAAGCCGGTTATAAGAACTGTATAAACCAACTACTACAATGCAGGTACTCACTCGTTATCAAATGTTTCCGGAACATCTTCGCGCAAATTATCGCCTTCGGTGTCTGTAAATAAATAGAATGGCAAAAAAGCTCATCGGAGATTAATATTAAGAACAAAATGCATACACAAACATGCATATACGAATAACATATAGATATAAATGTGCCTTGCTTTGCTCTGAGTGAGAAACTACTTTTCACGGATACATTTACGAATGCCTAAATCATGCTCAATTCTGATGCAACCCCATATTTTAGTTCGTTCTCACTCGAACACATCAACACCGACTAACAAGAAGGAAATACAAATTCATATAAGTGGTAGTCTTCGTAGCTTTATTAAGATATGCAACTACAACAAGTACTTCTTCTATCAGTTGGAGCAATACCAGACACTTTGGGTGTTTTAGCACAACGAAGAAGATGTACCACAACTCAAATAGACAATAAATCAAGTGTATCAAATCTATTTTCATGGTGTACGCATACAAGCGGTCACGCGCATGTATATATGTATAAGTGTGCCTTATTTTGCTCCGAGTGAGACCCATTTTTGTGCCTAGAGCATGCCTTTTGCCTTTGTCAGCATTGAATCTAGCAACCATATAGAAACTTCTTTTCACGGATACGTTAACGAATGACTAAAACATGCTCAATTTTGATGCAACCCCATATTTTAGTTCGTTCTCATTCGAACACACATCACAAATGTACGTCGTAATTGCAACGCCGGCTAACAAGAACGAAATACGAATTTATATAAACGAGTTTCAAGTACCTGCTCTAAGAGCTGGCTCCACATTGCCGAGATCAACAGCTTGAAGTTGCCCAAACCTGCAATAAATAACCCAAGAACCAAACCAAAATTTCATCTGTTATTTTGCCACTTTCAAGTTGCAATGTAATCAAAATACGTATATCCGTGGATTACAAGAAGTACATTCCTCCATAGTAGTACAAGCATGATAACCATACAGTATTTGTAAAAGCTTCATCTTCAAAACAAGGGTTCAGGTTCAGTATACCGAAGGCCGCTGAACTATACTTTTTAGTCCCTTCACTTCCAAAAGTTACAAACCGGTCATTAAATCAATCGAGCCACGGCCTTATAAGGAGTAATAAAGTTCTATAACAATGACCATTTTGTAATTCAGTCCATAACAGCTCGATCAATTTAACGCTATTTCACAGTTTCCGAAGATTCAATGACAAAAAATGATAATTTGGATAATAACCCGATAAACGATAGCAGCTAAAATCACATATAAAAACCTAAAACCCAGCACTCAGTTTGTTGAGAAATCTCCAAATCATTCACCAAATATCAATCTTTATTTGAATTTAAACCAGTTCTCAAAATCCTTTATCTATACATATAATACCAGTCTATAACTTGTCGGATTTTGGGAGCAAATTCTTCAACCTGAAACCAAAGCGAAAAAAAGAATGAGAAAGTGAATTAAATGGAGGGAAACGAAGAGAGCGATAAGAAGAAGAAGAAGAAACCTCATTAGGGGCGAGTGAAATTCGAGCAGTTTCAGCCAAGCGAGGCAAATCCGGTGGCTGCAAAGAGGACCTTGTTTTCGTGGAGAAACTTCGAGTTCTGAGATTATTGTTAATGATTGGGGAGAATGGTTTTAAAGAAGAAGAAGAAGAAGCAAAGGGAAAACTGGGTTTGAATTTGAAGTTGCCGAGCATCAGCAAAGCTCTGCTGCTCCCCATTGCGATGCTTTTGGGTTAATGGATTGAAAACTGCTTCAAACGCACCACTGAGCCTTCTAAGGTACAAATGCTACGGGAGAATAAAAGGCTAAACTAATAGGAACCGTTGGATTGGAGTTGAAGGGGAAGAACAAGTGGTGTTCTTTTTACTGGGTAAAATATAAAGTTCATCACTCAACTTTCTTCCAACATCTATTTTGGTTACTAAATTTTTAAAAACTTAAGAGTAAACTACATATTTAGTACTTAAACTATCAGTTTTAGTTCATTTTAATATATAAACTTTCAATTTGTTTTCAAAATCATACCTAACGTTTAGTTTTCAAATGATAATAAACAATAAAGCGAATTTATCAATATTAGATGATTAAAGAATACAATAGAAATGATAATTGCAGTACGAATGTGATACAACAATGCTAGTGCTCGTATTTTGCGGTACAGCCCTCTTTTTCATCTTCAACTGCAGAACAGAAGAAACCAGATATCTTCCCTAGTTGATGCTCAAAGCTACATGCAGGATCAGCAGCAGCAGCAGCAGCATTCTCGACTTGATTCGACGATAAAAACCAGAGCAATGGCCTTATCGTGATAGGACAACGATGTCGAGTCTCCGTCTCTCCGAGCTTCTCACGTAGTTTTCTTACGTATAATGCATGTGACCAGTCCGGCCTATAACATAATGGAGTCAGTAAAGATTCAGAAAAACAGAAGTACTTGAGCATGAAGACTTTATTAAAATGCCCCATGGAAATTTCACTGGACTGCATCCGTCGAGCGTGCAACCGATTGCTGATCAAAGAAGGGGACAACATTCCGAAGGCTGCCGTAGTATACTAATGCCAATAGACAATGCAAAGTTACACAATAATTAGCTACAAACTGATACCACTGTGCATATGCTTCCAAACCGTGTAGGTAACCTATGGCTGTATTTGTTTGGTCATTGAATAAAGGTCTCGTTGTGCTTATCTATTCTATTTGGATTTGCTTTCAGGGTGAACTAAAAGATTGCAGAATTTGGATGGTCAGTGCAAACGTTTAACCGCAGGCGGACTACGTGCGGTTCACTCGATTATCTCCCTGCTGAAATGGGTATGTTGTAAGCCATTAGATCTAAGGTATTAGCTCTAATGTCTGCACCTTTTGTCGGTTTATTACGGTTCGGCACGTTCTTTATCGAGCAGCTTGTAACCAATAGCTTCATCTGCAGCAAAGGACCTCATTTGTCTGGTATCTGTTGTAGCTTGTATTACTTGTGGATATAGATGATGCCCCAACGTGGACGTGTTATGAACGTTTAAGTTCAATTGGAGATGCTTGTCAAGGATTCTTGAGCACCCATGGATTGTTCAAAACGCTGACCCATCTAGCATCTATAGAGCTTGAGATACATTTGTTCGTCTAATACCATTCCATGATGATGAAGATGATGATTGAGCAAAAAGATGGTTTCATATTGAATGTAACAGCGGTTTAATTGTTAAATCCCGAATGCTACTTTCATGGCAAGCATGTATTGTCTTCGGTGACTTCGTGTCGTTACGGTCTTCGGCAACATTACCATGGTTTAAGAAGGGCCAAAAACGAGTCGAGTCGGGCTCAAGTACTGCCGATCCATACACACATCCGGCAACCAAGTAAAGGAAAGCACATTAAGGTAACCAAAAGCAAAAACCTGGGTTCACTAAGATCCAACAATGAAACCCAAAGCTGATATGAGGGGGTCATCAGTAAAATGAGGAATATCTTCGAGCACGGAAACGGCATCGCCGGGAAGTAACTTCGAATGGGTATCACTGGGTTTCCCATCGATAGAGCAAAACAGGAAACGAGGGATTTTGTTCTATTCTGGGTGAAGGAAATGGTGAAGCTTTGTCAAACTTATTGTTACTTGAACATTGCAGGGACCGTTTTGTAACCATTTAAGAAGTTTAATGACTATTATGTAACGTTTGAAAGATTGCTAACTAGCTATAACATTTTTACATGATTCAGTGAACTCTACTTTAATCCATTAATAACTAAACCTTTGTTAGTTTCCAATGAAGCAGTTTGCAAGCAAGTAGCTGAATACACACTGCCAGTATCCCAAATCCCACATCGTTGGCATATGAAGAGACGAGGGCAGCGGCGCCTTATAAAACACGCGGGCTTGAACGTTTCGAAGCATACCTTTCTCGGCCTTTTGGCTAAGATCAAGTGTAGTATCTGTTCTTATCAGTTTAATATCTGATACGTGGGCCAATGGCCCACACGATATTAAATTTATTTTTTGAGGGGTAGGGTTCATCACAGTAGCTTGCTACTGGGACTCTAGCGCGTCGCCCAAGTGTTGCACTATTGCTCGGGCCTGGCGCACCCCACCAATTTATGTTAAAGCCTTTCGATTTAGTACGAAAATTTGGGAGCGGTCATTACTTATTTAATGCAAGTGCAGGCAATATTCCATTGAAGTTTAAGAAGGGAAAGCTAGTCTTCTTGTAAACAAGTGTAACGTAACATTAATAGAGTTAGAAAATGCTAAAAATAGCCTAGTCATCTTTTTGATCCTTTTTTTTTAGTGTTTTGGCCCCACTTTGTAAAGCATAAAATGGACACTTGGTTAAAATTTAAAATGGTCTAAGAAGGCTTAATAAAAAAATAAAATAAAAAAATAAAATAAAAAAATAAGCGTTTGTAAAATGGTCTAAGAAGGATTTAATAAAAAAAAAATAGAAGGTTTAATAGAAGTAAGTTTTTGAATTATTTAGCGTCTAAAGTTTCTTAGGTGTCTAATGTTTTTCAGTTATCATTTTAAGTGTGTATTTTTAGTTATCGTCAATTGTCGATAAAATTCACTTGTGAGTGACCCGTTTGGGTAATTTTGAAAATTTATATAAAATAAGAAATGTAATTTAAATAAAACCATTTTTTAAATCTTAAAAAAATCCAAATTTTTTAAAAACTTCATTCTAATCTTTTGTCACCACCGCCATTGATGTCGTTAATCGACCAACTACCCACACCAAAACCTCCATGCTTTTCGCAACTGATCGAATGCCAAAAAATGATGTAATTGAAAATTTTTGTTTTAGGGTTTTAAAACCATAAAATCCCTTACATCGATCGTGATAATCGACCGTTTGATTAGATGTGATGGTCGATCATGACAGTCGGTCATGGCAGTCGGTCTTTGGTGCTGGCAGTTGGCCGTGGCAGGGGAGAGGGAGAAGAGAAGCGAGGAGGGAGAGCGGGGAGAAACGCACTTGTGCAGTTTTTTATTATAAAATATTTTTAAATAAAAATTAAAAATAACAGAATGTAACACGTGTCAGTTAACGAGGTTATGTAACGACATTTAACGTATGGACACCTAAAATAGTTAATTTTTAACGAGTTTAAACTTTAAATGTATTTGATAATTTCAGCTAATTATAAATTTAGAGAGATTAAATTTGGAAGTCAAATTAACCATTACCAATCTGATCAAATAACTAAATCAAAATTTTATCCAATTCGTTAATTCAATTAAAATTGAGCAATGAATACACCCATCTATGACCACGGTAGTTGATTCTATACTGTTTGGCATACCAATTCTCCTTGGTACAAGTATCGAGAAGTTTTACCGTACGTCTTAATATAAGACTAAAGAAATACGCTATCGATTTTTATTATTATTTTAATAAAATTGGTAAAAATTTACTGAAAACATTATTATTTCTACCAAAATCATTATTGAGCGTTTTATCGAGCTTTGTAATATATCCGGCAAAACACTACCTAAAACATTATTTTTTTCTACCGATATATTACCAAACCCGGTAAAACGTCCAATAATAATATTTCCGGTAGGAATAATAATGTTTTCAGCAACTTTTTGCCGGTTTTATTTAAAAATAATAATAACAAAACCGATAACACCTTTCCTTAATCGTATATTAAGTTGTCGCACGATAAACTCCCCATACAAGTACCAATGCTGTACGATGTACCTGTCGGATTTATTGTTATTTTATTTAAATATTTTTCATATAAGTGTTCATTACGTACTTACTAGTAAATATATAAAAATATATATATATATATATTTTAAAATCAATAAACAATTTAATTAAATGATTATACTTCACAATGTAATTATAAAAAATGTTGCAATTAAATATTAATTTAAGATTTTAAAATCTTGTACCGAGAGATGTGGGCACCAATACGAACCGGTAGTGACATTTTGATCAAAACGGGTTCGAATCTCGACATTTGCGTATGATATCTGTCTGCATAATAAAAAACCGGGTATATCCGGAACGGGAACGGGGTACCGATAGAGATAATCATAATTCATAAGTTCATGCTTGTGTTGACCAAAAGGAAAAAGAGTAAATAAATAAGAACTTCACCAGCATGAGAATAAGGCAAAAGACAATAAAATCATACTTGTTAAGGTTTTGTATACAGACCATTTTCATTCATCTGCGCAAGAATCCCATTGCTTGGTAGACGTTCTCGAGAGTAGCGTCCGCTATAGCTGCAGCTTTCGTAGCCCCTTCTGCCAAGACACCGTCCAAATAAGCCGGATCAGCAATGATTTCCTCGTATCGAACCTGAAAGAGAAAACCTGACTATTGAAGGGGAAATATCAACGGTGGAAGAGACGGATGACGGATAGCTATCAGACATGCAAAACTATAGTGCCATTAGCAGAGAAGGGAAGATGAACAAAATAATAACGATGCTTGGACCAAATATGAACATATCGGTACCATTTGGACACCCGATGCAGGTTCAACACCGAAGCATTAGCATGGATCTGACTAGATTTTACATTCATTCGACAGCCGAGGCTGCAGTACGTAGCTTCAGAAGAACAGTTTCTAGGAATCATTTGTGTAAATGTACTTCAGGAAAGTTTTCTTAGCAAATTACCAATGCTTTGGAAGGGAAACTAATTCATCAGAGCAGAAAACATCCATAAAAACATATTTCTTCCACACTATGAACGGTTATGGCTAGAATTATTTGCAGGAAAGCATTGAATTTAATATGATAAAAACCTTGAATGTTAAGATGGCGTGCTAGGGATTGAGTCACGTGGTAATGGATGGGAAAATCAAGTCTGAAACCTTCGGACTTATTGGAGAAAAACCCGGATCTCTTTAAGGTTTTCGATAAAAAATCGACTAAGGTTAGAACTAGGGTTGTAAATGAGATGAGACAGATCGCGAGCTACTCGAGATCGACTCGGTCAAGGCTCGATAAATACTCACTCAGATCGAATGGACTCGACTCGAGCTCAACTCAAATTCTTAACGAGCCAAAACGAGCTACTTGATACTCGACTCGAAAAGCTCGTGAACAGCTCGAAAATATAATATATTAAGATTTTATTTTTTTAAAGTAAATTATTAATAATATTAACATTTATGTGTTGATTTTAAAAAAAAATATAATAAGATTTTCATGTATTTAAGGTTCAGGTTCGAGTTTGAGGCTTCAATTTAGTTAAGTTTAAGATTTTTTTTTTCATTTCGAGCCTTTTCGAGCTGCTCACGAGCTTCAGTTAAGGATTTCGAGTTCGAGTCGAGCTTAAAAATTTTAAGCTCGCGAGTTTTTGAGTCGAGCTCGACTCGGCTCGTTTACACGCCTAGTTAGAACTCTATTTGCAGGTTTAAATAAGGACGGGTCTTATCACACAATTAAAAAACCTATTCCAAAGAGGAAAGAAATAAACTGGAATAAAATTGCAACTGAGAAATCTAAGCCTTAATTAGAGAACCGATACTAATGGCCTCTCCTAACATGGGTTCAGCCCACCAAGCATCCACAACGCTAATTACAATGAAGTATAAAGTCCCTTGGGGTAATAAATAGTCCAATCACAACAAAATCAAATTATATGTAAAACAGAATACCATGCATATATGTTCCTAGGATGCTCAATTAAAAAAATGGTGTATATAGTGCCAAGAACCTGGATAGGGTGTAAATGATCAACTAATGCATCTGTTAAGAGGATTTTGAACGTGCCCCAGTTCATATCTTGGCATTCCTGTGCAACTTCCTGGAATAAGGACAAACATAAGACTGATTGATGATCTCACAATTTTTTATATCACAGCATCAGTAATAAGAATTTCAAATGCAAAGTTAGATATTGTACAAAAAAATAGAATGGAAATCAGAAGGAGAGAATTGTTCTCTCTCTTAAAGCATTTCAACAAAACTACTACTGTAAGCAGAGAACTTTCCCTGATTCATTTGCTTGAAGTGAAATCTATAACCAAAAGACTAAACCAACCATTCGGCGGCTTAGTGTTAAGCTTAGTCCAAAGCATTAATTTGTCTTGGATGGATAAAAACAGACACATATTTTCAAATGTCGTACAAATAAGAGTACAAACTCCAAACCTCTTTTGTCTTGCTTGAAATTATCTGATATACGGACAGAAGATTGTTGCATTCAGGACGTTCAGGGTTGTCAAATTCCAAGCTATGATAATTGCCAGAAGAAGCGCAAAGAAGACAGCAAGTTGAAAGACTTCACATTAGAGTCTAATGTCGTATAAAGACATTCACAAACAAAGAAAAATAAATGGAAATAGAAGGAAAACTTCAAATTATCGTGATAGACTAGGAACTAACCCAGGAAATGAGTCAGTCTTGCAACGCTTTATCTTGTTTGCTATCACCTACCACAAAAAGGGGGAGGCTAATTGATCAAAGCAATTATACGGGAAAAAACAGAAATCAGCTGAATTCCATAACTTTTTTCAAAACACTGGTGACTGCATGAAGTCATACAAGATGCCAATAACAGTATCTATCATACAAGCTGAATTCCTTGTAAGGGGTTTAAGATGTTTTGTTTGGAGTGTTTTGGGATGTTTTTGTAAGGGGGATTGGTTGTTTTAAACATTATGTAATCTTTCAGTTATTTATGAATTTTGAGACACTCTTTTCCTTCTTCGCTGATTAAGGAATACCGTTTGGTGTTCCTTTAATGAAGGGGGGTTTTAACGAGGCCTCCACTTCCTATCCAAAAAAAAAAGAAGCTGAATTCCTTGTAACTTTTTTCAAAACACTGGTAAGGGCCTTGACTGCATGAATTCCTTATAAACTTACAAGGAAAAGATTTTGTATGATAGATACAACCAACCCCCCCCCCCCCTCCCAACAAAACAATTCCCCTCCCGGAATATTCAACTCAAAATTATCTTTTGTAGTCCATTTCAGGTTAAAGGCCCACTACATCAATGACTACCCTGCCAATTACTACACATAATTACTAAATTCAACAGCAAAATGTTTGCCGACATAGCCACTGTTGAAGTGGCAAGTTTGTTGCATGCTGGCACAAAAAACCAGGGTTCAAATCCTGGTATCCCCATCCCCTCCCAAAAAAATTGTTATGATCTAAAAAAAAACAGAACAAATTTAGAAACCTTTAATAGTTTTCAAGCACCCACAATGCAGGGATAGACAAGGAAAAGATGTATTAAATCACTCACGTCTTTGGGGTCAAGAAGATTGATTCGAGACTGATCAGAAGGTGCAGACTTGGACATCTATAAGATCGAACACAAGAAATTTATCAGGCAGATCAGAAAAAATAATTTCTGAAACAAATAAATAGGTTATAACAGTTTGATCAGTTTTATTTATTCCTGCTTTGCCAGTCAAAGATTAAGTGAAGGTGACTTCCTAATTTCTATTATCATCCACTCTGTAAAAGGACATGGAACTTTTACTATATTTTGGAAAATAAAGATATATTCAAGAGCAAGGATGAAATATGCCATTTAAAACTGCAAAGCTTTGCCAATGATATGTTGAATAGTGAGATGATTACTTCTATGAACAAGTAACAACATTAAAGTTTGAAGAAAGCATTCTCAAGATCTTCATTAAGCAATGGAAGTGAAAAAGAAGATAGTAACTTGTGGGAAAACAGACAGAACAAGCTGTAAGGAAATATTTTAGAAGTATATTCTTTGATTCTTTTCGCTGATTTCTTTGCTGATTTTTTGTATTATTAGTTGATTGCTTTCCTTGGGGAAACATTATGTGTATATACAGGAAGCTTATTACTGAATAAAAGTGATCAGTTTTTCTTCAATCAACAGAACTACATGCCTAATCATAATTAAATAAGCCACAAAACATAAATGTAGGGAGACTATTGAAGCCATCGTAAGACTGTTTGGTCTAGCTGTCCTTGATTATCATGAGAATTAAACGTAACCATTACTTTCAGATGGTTTTAAGTCTATGAAAACTGTAGCAGCATGGATATAAAAATAAACTTGATTCTTAAAAGTTCCCCATGTGATCAACCTAAAAAGTTCATCAATGAGGAATTTGCACTTTATAGGATGTGGATAAGTCAGAAAACTATTATATTGATCTACCATAGGGAAGTTTTCAAAATATAGATAGCTAAAAACCTTTGAAAGACCATCAGTGAGGGACATAACTCGTGCTCCGGCAGGTGGTATTAGGGGCTCAGGGACCTACATAAGGAAACAAACTTAGACAAGAACCATAATTTGAGATGGTTCATAAGCTTCTAATACAAGGTTCAAACCAAGTATTGTTATAGAACCACTACCTTAAAAATAGGGCCACCACGCCTGAGACCAAAATAAAATATTAGAAGGGTCAAACTTTAGAATTGATAATTATAGCAACAAAAAAAGAGACACATACATAATGATGAATCAACTCTTTATATTCTCACCCTCCCAGTTTTTTCCACTTCCTTCCTCCATATAAATAGTTAACACGCTCAGCTAACTCACGAGTCAATTCCAAATGCTGCTTCTGATCTTCACCAACTGGGACAAAATCAGACTGCAGAAGCATGCTGCGATTGTGTAAGAATCATGCATCTTCAGAGTACTTTATCAAAAAAATCATCAATATTTTTCAGATAAGATACTCAACCTATCAAGGTTGTTAAGAGGGCTCAAAAAGCGGATAAGACTCAGCTTTCAAAAATCACCTGATACAAAAGAATATCAGAAGCCATCAGAACTGGATATGTCAATAGAGCAACTCCAACATTTTCATCTCCCTGCAAGACCATAAGAGCAGAAGACGATTTAAAGAGACCAAAAGCATAAATTAGATTAGAGAAGTGAGATGAAATCAAGTAATGAATCAATGACGACAAGAAAAATAACAACCTCCATTACCCTGATATTAAATAAGAATCTTGCATGAATGTTACAAGTCCTGATTCTTTTTTCTGGATAAAATTGTGATACCAGAAAAGGCAGGACTTTTGCAGGAACTGATATCAGACAGAATATTCTAAGTCCCTCACTAAACTATTCTGCACCATTGACTTAAGAACATATGACTACAAATTAACATCAGCAAAGCATAGCATGTGGGGTGATGCTGAATGATGATTTGCAGACTAAACAAACTTTTGATGCCAGTTGAACTATTCTCCCGATATTTGTATTAAATGATTAAAGCTAGAACACTCCCAGTTTGACCAGCTCCAAATGCAAAAAGAAAAAAATTAGTTGGTAAGAGATTATGCTACAGAATCCAAGAAAAGTTAAAGCTACACTGATAGTAATAATAACATCAATAAAAGTAATGAAGATGGAGCTCTCATAGGCTAAGAACGCACCGCTTTGCGAGATTTCTCTTTAAACTGAATCATTCTGTTTAGCCAACCAATTGGTGTGGCACAACTCAGTAGCCACATCAATTCTACATGAGCACGAACATGTGACTGCACAAAGACAGAAGCCTGCATAGCCAAATGAAACTATTTCTAAGCAACAAGAGCTTCAAACATACAGTGATTTGACTCATAAAAATATTTTTAAGGACCAAAAGTGAAAGCCCACCTTTGAGGTGTCCACACCACATGCCAAATAAATAGCTGCTGTATTCCTGGATGCCTTTGACAACTGTTGTGTATCATATGGTAGTGTAATCTGCGTGTAGAGAAAAATAAATTGATTAAAAATAGCTAAATGATCACCGGAGTCACCGGAAATCTTCTTTAAAACAGCAGTCCATGGTAAAAGGTTGATTGAGAGACAGCAATATGAGAAATTTGCATGTAGATAATATTTCAAACATACCGCATGGAGGTCCACAATGAAGAAGAGTGTGTCATATAAGTTCTGCAAAAAAAAGAACCACATCAAGAAATACATGAGCAGGCAAAAAGATAAATGTCGCGATAAGTGTCCTTTTAAGTGTCACATTAACAAAGACAACAACTAGCTTGTACTAGTTCAATTTATTTGATTCTTACCTAAACCCAAATATTGAAGGCATTCAGTGTTCTAGTTCATTAATTCAAATTGATCTGGCATCTAGGAACCTATTCGAAAACATCAGTGCTCAAATTCACTTCAAAAGGGACTGAAGTTGGTCAAAAAGGAAACCAAAATCTATTCCATACACTTCACAAAGTAGCTACATTGCTGATTCCATCAAATCACATTATTTTTATCATTTATCATGTTTGAAATTGAGAATATAGCATAGAAAGTCATTAGAACCTGAAGCGCAATCCAATTCTTTATGGCACCAAGATAATTCCCAAGGTGGATAGCTCCTGTTGGCTGGACTCCTGACACTATCCTCTTCCTGTAAGTAATTCAAAGAACGTTCAATAAACCATGTTTGCAATAAAATGCTTTCAAAGTTAAAGTGTCAAAAAAAAGTTAAGGTCATTCGAAATTCATAAGTTGCTCAGATCCTAATTCAGTGAATCTTTTTTAATGATAAAACCATTTCTGAGCAAGTTTTCCTATAAAATTCATTCTAAGAATTAGTGAATTCCACTTTAATTTGGTTAAAAGAGGCTATAAGCAAGTTATTCTACATCAGCTAAAGCATGCTGGCCTTTCAACAATTCAGTTTGACTGAAAAGAGCTAAGTATTTACCATTGCAGTGTCAAGAAATATACTACTCAACTCTAAAATCCATTTCATTACTTCAATCACAATTAAGATCAAAGGTATGAGCAGGAGATTTACCTGACCGAACTTGGAGAAGTATCAGGAGCCACCGGCTGAGAGAGCGATACGCTGCAGCAGCACTGGAAACCGGCGGCATTGTGTCCATTTATAGCGCGACTTTGTCGGACGAATCCGGGCCTTTTCAAGCATTTGCTTCGAAATCCGCCAAAAGACCTGCTTCCATACAAAATCCAAAATGAAAATGAAAGTTATGCTTCTTCATCGATTCAAATTATGGAAGTGAGAATGAAAGAGGAGTACAGTGAAGATGAAAGGCGAGGAGAGGAATTGGACAGGATGAGGAATTGCGAGAGAGCTGCGCGCCCCATTCTTCTCCACTTCTTTTCTCGGAGCAGTTTTCCAATTTGTGTTTGGAAAAATGGATTTATCCAGCTAAAAGGAAACGAGCGAGAAAACGAGACCGTTTGATCCGGTAGCAGAATCGGCCGGATTATTAATAAAAATAGTTAATTACATTTTGGATCCTTACTTTTATGTTTTATCCACTTTTTTCTCACTAATTTTTAAAAAACATAATATATGATCACTTCCGTTTTCGTTTTTATTTGATTAAGATGGGGTCATTATTAGGAGTGTGCATTTTCGGATAAAAATATTATCCGATCAAAAAATTCAAATATCAAAAAATTTGGATCACTAAAAATTATGATCCGTATCCAATAAAAAAAAATCAAATATCCAAATTTTCGGATCGGATATTTTGATATCCGGATCCAAATACAAATTTTAATTTAATAAAAAAATTAAATTTCATATTTTTATATAATATATTTCTCGAACTATTTAAATAATTTATTTTTTAAAGAATATCCGATCCAAATGTAAACTTTAATTTAATAAAAAAATCAATTTTATATTTTATATTTTATGACTTTATAGAATATATTTTACATTTCTACTATTCATATTTACCAAAATATACTTAAATAATTATAATATAATATAAGTTCTTAATATACCATTTTAAAGTTCAAAAAATACATAATTTTAAAAATAAAAAAAATATAATTATACATAAAAATATAATATTATAAAACTTATTTTAATTTGAAAAATATGATGATTGAATATAAAAAAATAAAAATTAATGGACTCATTTCAAAACTGGACCAAAGTATAAAACTTATTAATTAAAATATTAAAAACATAATATTTATAAAATATAAAACGTGTTCCCCACAATTCAATTTTACACGTCCACTTTACTCATTAGATAAAAATATAAAATACAGAGGGCTTTTCGGTCAAAATATAAAATACATCATATATAAAAGTATACAGAAGATTTATTCATGGGTCAAACAAGGCTAAAACTGGGGCGCTGGGTATTTTAAATTAGGGGTGGGCTGGCTGAAATAGTAGGACCTGCATAAAATATTTTAAAGGACCATTTTTATTGGATATTCAGATAATCCGAAATTAAGTTTTAATCGATCCGTATCCGATCCGAATATCTGATTTTCTCTTCGGATATCCGATCCGAGCTATCCGAAAGTAAAATAACGATCGGATATCCGATTTTTCGAATCAGATCAACGGATTGGATTAGATTTTTTGCACACCCCTAGTCATTATGAGTTCACTGTTGTTAAATATTTTAGTATAATCATAAATTTGGTCCATTTATTTATATATTCTCTTAATTTAGTCATATTTTTAATAAATTGAAATAAATGTAATCCTTTAATCGAATAATACCATGTGTCACTGGTACCACATGTCATCATTCGATTAGAAGATTAAATTTATTTAAATTTAGATTTATTTGAATTTAATATATTTACTTTTAAAATAAATTAAAATAAAATAAAATAAAGCTAATCATACGATCGAATGGTGACATATGACACCAATGATATGTGACATCATTCGATTGGATGACACAAACATGAGTGATTATCATATGGTTATCCTTAAAAAAGGGTAAACTGCCTATTTGGTCACTTACCTATGACTTAATTTCTATTTTAGTCATTCAACTATTATTTTCTTCAAAATCAGCCTAATTCTACGTTCTGGTTTTATTTTGATCACATATTGTTAAAAATTTAGCAACGTTGCTTATGTAACTTTTTTTAATTTTTTCAATAGTAATGTGACGTTATTTTACGGTGACACGCCAATATCATCGGTAATTTTTAACGACGTGTGAAAAAAATAAAGCTAAAATATAATGTTAGGTATGCTTTTGAAAAATAATAGTTAAATGATCAAAACAAAAGCTAAGTAATGTGGTGTTACTACTGAATCTATACTCCATGTATTGAGAGATTATACCCGAACTCGTAGCTCGTGGCACCGAGTTTTATATAGGGATGGACATTAGATATGAATTCGACGAGTTTCGATTTGATCCTATCGGATCAGGTCTTTTTAAAAAAGAAATTAGGTTTGGGTTAGGTTGGATTTGCTTTTTTAGAGATTATGTTTGGGTTGGGTTGGATTCGGGTTTGACGTGAAAAATATCGGACCCGACCCAAATTACAAAAAATTGTAATTTTACCTTATATATTTAGGGATAATTGTAATGAGACTCATATATATATATTATTATTTTCAACTAAATTCTTTTTTTATTGAATAAAATAATAAATTTATAAATATATTATTTTGAGTTGGGTCGAGACCGGATTTTATCTCAAAATGACAAGTCGTAATCAGGTCAGGTTTTATCTCAAAATAGTGGGTCGGGATGAGATCGGATGGAGGGTATAATTTTCGGGTCGGATTCGGGTCAAATGAAAGATGTATAATTTTCGGGCGGGATCGAGTAGATTGAAAACTCGACCCAACCCAACCCATGCCCATCCTAGTTGTACCCACTGGAATGATAGACACTTTCTTTAATAGTGACCTCCGGACGTGGATTGAGAACAATCTGGTATTGAAGAAACCTTGTAGAAATGGGGAGCCGTTACGTAGTCACCAATGTTTGCATCGATCATTTAGCAGGTATGGAAGAAAAGGAATGGTTTGATCTTCAATGCCGGTATAATGCCGGCTGATTTAGTCCCTCATCGCAGCTACAACACGGCGAAACCTATGGCCGCTTCGAGTTAAGACCGAGTAAATGGAGTTGTATCATCCAACAATGGAAGAGGCTCGATTGGAGGAATTCTTCGTGGTTCACACGGCGATTAGATTGTCGGTTTTAACAAAAACTATTGGCATGAGCTCTGTTCTCCAAGCCGAACTTTGGAGTATACATGAAGGTCTTCTTGTTGCTTGGAATGTTGACATTACTGGAGTTCTAGTGTAAGCAAACAGTTCAAATGAGGGTTGAAGGGGACGCCACCTGCAATCCGTTTTCCCTTGTTAAAGCAATCACAGATCCGCACAAACGTCCTTATGAGATCCATTTTCAATGGGTCTTAAGGAATGATAATACAGTGACAGGCGGGGACGGACGCAAGATATTATGTTAGGGGTTAAATTTGAACTTTTAAAATTTCAGGGAGAGTGAATTTGAACTTATAAAATTTTTAGGCGTGAAAACATATTTTTAATAAAAAAACATAAAAAATCTAAAATATATGATAATTTTGACGATTGCCTTCACTCACCCCTTGGTCCACTCCTGGTGACTGCTTGAATAGCTAAGCTTGCCACGAATCACCATTATAGTTTAGACACTTTTTAGCGTTTAAACTATATCTCAAAATATAATTTGGTACCTAAAAATCTTCTTGCCAACAACAGGTGTCTAACGTCTTTTCCGTTATATTTTTAGGTGCCTACAATTTTATCTGTTACACTTTTATGTGTCTATCGTTATATTTTTAAATTTTTTTAATAATAAAAATATTATTTAAAAAAATCAAACACCTGCGTTGTCCATCCCCCTCCCCATCCCCCACTATCGAGGGCGAAGGGTCACTACAGGTCAGATTTTGTTAGGAATAGACGAGAAACTTAACAATGGCAACCATGTAACATACGGACGGCTGTAGCCGTTGAAATCATCAAAAAACAACGAAAAACCTAGAAATTTGACAACCCTTTGCGACATTTTTCACGACGATCAACATAGTTTCACGGTGAGTGGGAGACTGGATTTTAGTCGCGACGGCGAGACGGTTCTGATAGTGTCAATGGTAACGGCCATGGAGTGGCCCATCGGCAACGAAAGATGTGAAATTTGACATTTTTTGGTATTTTTAATTATAATATTAAGTTTTTTTAATAAAATAATTTTTAAATTTTTATATACGTGACATGTGCCAGACAACGATCAAGTTTAACGGTCATTACAGTTCAGATACCTAAAAGTGTAACGTTTACCTATGTTAGTAAAAAATTATTAAGGCATCAAATTGCATTTTGAGGTATATTTTAGACACTGTATTAAGCCAAAAAGAAAATATTACATCACTATCACCCTTACTCCCCCATGGGTGTGTTGGGAAAGCCAGAAGTAGGGGGAAGTGATTTTGAATACCGACAGCGATGTTCGGTCGGTGACAAGGTTTGCTCCGGCAGTTGGTCTGTTATGTAATACTACGGGCTATTGAATTAGGGTCGTAAAATCAGTTGATTCGATTTTTTATACGATCAAATAATCATTCCTACTATCAACAGTTAAACGGCCGAATATTATTGCTGCTTTTCATTTCAAATATAGAGTATTCTGCCAACAGCTTCCATAGGAAGAGAAAAGAAGGAAGAAAACAAAAGACCCTGCTAATAACTATGCAATGAGCCCCGAATACAAAGAATTTGATTGAACTTCAGAGGTAGGATCTATAGCCAGAGTTGTACATGCAGCTCTCTGCGTATTTAACCAAATCTTTCCGCTGAGGAAGGTGAGATGCCAACCCTAGTATGCCAACAAGAACAAGTTCAATTAATCAAACAATTCATTCGTGTATACATGTCGGATACGAGTATGTTTTCCAGCGATAACGTCGGGGAACTCACCGAGCTCGTATGCCTTGGCAGCAACCTTCGCGGCAATGTTAGCTGAGATCTTTCTCATATTGGAGAATGGTGGGTAAATTAATCCCTTTTCAAAGTGTTCCTCTGTCACTAGCGACGCCAAAGCTTCCGCTGTCGAGGTAGAAAGAAACCGGTTAAGTCCATTTGCATGGCTAGAAAGATAACCAAAGGTGGCTTGATGCACTTACAGGCTGCCAAAAGCATGTCGTCGTGTACATGGATCGCACCGGATGTTATCAATCCCAAACCAAATCCAGGGAAAATGTAAGCATTGTTTGCCTAGATTTACATCAAACATGGAGAGATGTTGAAGTTAGATTTACAAGCTTAGAGATGTAACGAAACTGCGTTTTCGAGCTCCGAAAATGCTCAAGGGACGGACGGTAGTTACCTGGCCGGGCACGAAGACTTCGCCATTGTATTCAAAGGGGTCAAATGGGCTTCCACTTGCAAAGATTGCACGACCCTGAAGATTAATTTTACTCGAATCCATATAAAATTCGAAGCTTTAAAGCGAGATATAAGCATCCAAGCTATAAGAACGTAGAAGAAAATTGCACGCCATATACCTCACTCCATGTATATGCTTCTTCTGATGTACATTCGGCTTGTGAGGTCGGGTTTGATAGAGCCATGATAAGAGGATTCTGCAAGTCGACCGTCAAGGTTAGTGCAAAAATCTTCGATTTAGCTGATGGCAACATGCATGCATACATGTGTATGTATGCGCATCCATCCATGTTATGTATATATATAGTTAGAAAGAGAGAGAACCTCATTGATGGGGGAACTTATATTGTGCGACGCTTAAAAAACGGTTAAAAACGGCGTGACTTGTTAAATAAGTGACCGGTTAAAATTTAGACCGGTTATGTTATATCATTTAATCGGAAATATTATCAAGTACAATAATATATTAGGTAGCGCTTATATAATGTAATAGGTAGCGTTTATATTGACATATTTTCTAATTAAACGGGAATATTTAAACCGGTAACATTGTAAATTTACCTATTACATTATAATTATCGGTTTTGATGTTTTTGGGATTGATACAATTTTAAATGTATCGACACTTTATGCGTGCACCTCGTTGTGCTTTCATTTTGGGAAAAAAGTATCGACACATATTTAAAGAGTGTCGATACATAATGTAAACTTATTTGCTAATTAACCAGTATATTTTTACCGGTTACATTGTAAATTTACCTATTTCTGGGTTTTTGTTCTTTGAGAAACTGATAACATAGTGGTTTTCTCAATGTTATTATTTTGTTACTGTAAAGTTTTTGTTCTTTTCTTACTGGGTTTTGCTTAAAATATCCAACTTTTTGTATTAAAAAATGAAAATTCTGAAATAAAAATGACCACACAAGCACACTTTTTTACTACTGGTTTTGTCATTTTGAGACCGATTTTATCATATTTTTACATGTTATATTGTTATGGATCGATACATTTTTATAAAGTATCGACACTTTATTGACGCTATAACTTCTTTTCTTTTAAATTCCAAAAGTGTCGATACTTATAATAAAGTATCGACACTTTCAACATATCCGGTAGCTCTTTATCGGTTTTGTCATATTTTTACTTGTTATATTGTTATGGATCGATACATTTTTATAAAGTATCGACACTTTATTAGCGATATAACTTCTTCTCTTTTAAATTTCAAAAGTGTCGATACTTATAATAAAGTATCGACACTATCAACATATTCGGTAGCGTTTTACCTGTTTTGTCATTTATAGGCCGGTTTTGTCATTTTTTTACCTGTTATATTGTTATGGATCGATACATTTTTATAAAGTATCGACACTTTCAATATATCCGGTAGCGCTTTACCTGTTTTGTCATTTATAGATCGGTTTTGTCATTTTTTACTTGTTATATTGTTATGGATCGATACATTTTTATAAAGTATCGACACTTTCAATATATCCAGTAGCGCTTTACATATTTTGTCATTTATAAACCGGTTTTGTCATTTTTTTACCTGTTATATTGTTATGGATCGATACATTTTTATAAAGTATCGACACTTTCAATATATCCGGTAGCGCTTTACCTGTTTTGTCATTTATAGACCGATTTTGTCATTTTTTTACCAGTTATATTGTTATGGATCGATACATTTTTATAAAGTATCGACACTTTCAATATATCCGGTAGCGCTGTTTTGTCATTTATAGACCGGTTTTGTCATTTTTTTACCTGTTATATTGTTTTAGATCAATATATTTTTATAAAGTATCGACACAAACTGACAAGCTAAGTTTTTCGGTTGCCAAATTTTTTAATATTTCTTCATGATTTCCACCTATTACATTATTATTACTCGATATTTTCGATAACGCTAAACCGAATTTATCAAATATCTTTTAATGTATCCGGTAATATTATATATTAACTGTATATTAATCCGCCTTTCATGAGACAATCCCCATTGATGGATGCCATTGCTTCAACAACTTCCTTTGTGAACTGTCTTCCCGCTCCAGATGTTCCAATCAAGACCGTTGGTATGATTGCCTGTTTAATCCAAAGAAAGGTAATATATGTGTAAATGTATGTATATGAAGTAGTTCTTTCTCGTATCGCGAAAAATTCGAGTCAAGTTGCTCACCTTGACGGCATCGACAAGTTTCGTGACAGGTTCATGCTCATGAGCCCACGGTTTCATGAAGTGTTGAAGTGACCGCTTACGGGCTCTGATTTAAAAATCGGACCGGATCGGCCGGTTTAACCGGAAATTATTGTTTAATTCGGTTCAATTTAAACCGGTTAAATCGTTATTAGTGAACCGGTTAAAATCGTTGAACCGTTCGAATCGGACCGGCTGAAAACCGAAAAAAACCAGAAAAATCAGGAAAAACCGGAATTTTTATTTTTTATTTTTAAAAAAAATTAAACCAAACAACGTCGTTTGTTAAACGAGCCAAGTCGAACTCGAGTATTGCTGAGCTCGACTCGAACTTGAAAACTTTAAAAGTAAGCTCAATTCAACTCAAACTCACAAGCTAAAAATTATCAAGTTAAACTCAAACTCGAAATATAATATTGAAACTTGAACTCAAAAAAAATTAGAAACTCAATTGAAGCCTAAAATTCGAGTTTGATTGAAGTGAAAGAATAGTTATATAATTATAGTTATATAATTTTGTTATGATTTTTTAACCCCAAATTTATTTTTTAATTATAGTTATATAATTATATTTATTATTTAATATGTTTTACCTTAAATATTATGTTGTAGTTAATTTGAATCATTTTGTTTCACTTGATTTTATGGTTTTTAACTTATATATGTTATGACTTGCTTTGAATATGACTTGTGATATAAAAAATTATTTTTTATTAAATATTTTTGGTATTTTATTTAATTTTTTAAATAATTATGACGTCGTCCGGTTCTTCCGACCGATCGGACCGATGGAACCAATGAATCGGTAGCATGACCGGTTCGTTAACCGGTCCGGTTCTGAAAACCATGCTTACGGGACTTGACAATCAACCCCTGCCGCATGGTTCGAACTCATCGCAGTGAGGAACGATGGACAAAAATCAGTCATTTTTGGTAAGATCTAAGCATCTTTAACACAAGATACTCAGATGAGATTCACAGTACCTTTGAGTCTACGAGCCAAATCTTCTTGCGATTCTCTTCGATCGGATTTCCAGTCTGTCACGAAATAAAATATGTTTAGCCATGAACCTGAGGAAGCAAATCCTTGTCATGAGAAAATACAGTAACTTCTTACCTTCTTTGACATCTCAAGAGCTATTAGCTCTGCGATACCGGTTCCGGCCTATCGACACCAAAAACGAAACGCCTACTTAGTCGACAAACATATGTAATAGGTTGACAGATGAAAAAGAAGGAACAGAGGTTAAGTGATCTGAATAGAAATACTGCGAAGAATCGATGAAATCCGAACAGCCTAATAAGTAGCAAGTATTGCCTACAAAAGCCTTACCTCTCCAGCACCAAGGAACAAAAACCTATGGTCAGCGAGAGTTCCGCCGAGTAATTTCAGGGCCGCAATAAGCCCGGCCAGCACCACGGATGCGGTACCCTGCCATTACAAAAGTGTTTCCGAATAAGAAACCAGAATAAAATCACAGCCATCAAGGGTAATGAGAAGAGGAGAATCTAGTTAAAGAGTATATTACCTGTATGTCATCGTTGAAAACGAGATGACTAGAACTATATCTTGCCAACAGCTCAAATGCATTGTGGTTTGCAAAATCTTCGAACTGAAAATATTGCTTATCTTATTCATCGAGTATGTAAAAGTCCGAAACCAAATGGCAAGACGACCGTGAATCGATAGTTACCTGTATCAGGACTTTCTCCCCGTAATTCTGCTCAACTGCAGACATGAACTCATGAAGAAGTTCATCATATTCCTACACCATTGAAACCGATGTGATTCGGTATGTATTTCAGAGAAGTAAACACATGTACAGAATAAGCATGTTATATATGACCGGATGTTAAGCATATAGAAGCAAAGAAGAACCATCAAACCTGTCCAGTCGCCCTCCTTTGCCTGAGGCCGATGTAAAACTCTTCGTTTAACAACTTCTCATTGTTCGTCCCGACATCAATAGTAATAGGCAAGCACTGAAATATCAAGAACTTATTAGTTGATAAGGAGTTTACCCCATTCGGTTAAGCTGCAGAGATCCGAACCGACATCATACACGCAATTAGGACACTACTGCGTCTGCGACATTTACCGTAACCCCGTTTTCAGTACAAAGTCATCCATAGGGGAAAAAGGAGACGAAAAACGGAAAAGGAAAATCGAGCACAAAACAAGGTGATTTTAGCAATGCTTACTGCAGATGGACGGACTCCTCCCAAAGCTGTGTATAGAGAAAGTTTTCCTACAGGTATACCCATCCCCTGAAAACAGGTATACCCGTGCTCATCCCTACGTAAAACCATCATTCTTTAGTGCTATGAAGATCTCTGGAATTTGATCTCAAGCTGGATGCATTGGTAAAATACCCGCATAAAGTCTATCAACTCTTCCGTCCGACTGGTCGATCACAATCCGCACCACAATCCGACGTATATATTATGTAAAATAAAGTGCCAAAGAAGTGTTCCGGAAAAACTGCAAGAAACACCACGATCACCAATCAATATTTCGACACAAGTTTCGACACGGAGGCAGACATATATGATGCATAAACAAGTCACTTTAGTAAGACATGCCTGCTTGTTGCTTCAGGTTTCTTGTCCGGAACAAGAAGCGACTATGTAACATGGTTGAGGCAGGTACCTACTCCAACTCTTCCTTTTGTTCTAAGTACTCGTGCCCCCGACACATATCTAGACATAAGTCCTCTAAATACACGGAAGAACTTGGAAAATTGAGCATACCCTAATCAAGTATGTACCTATATTCGACATTTAAGGTCCGAGTAACATAGGTTAGCACAGACCATGACAGACAAACCCCACAACTGCATTAGAGGCTCTCAAATGAATTGAAAGCAAGTGAACACAAACACAAGCATGTTTCAAGATCTTAGTTGTACACAGATCGAATGACTGAAAGCGTCTATGGCCCAGAATAAAACCATCGTTGCATGTTCCTCGCACACCAACAATAAACTTAGCCTGTGCACTCGCCTTCAACCAAGAAACTATGATTTCAAAACCATACAAGGTAAGAACATCAGCATCTAAAGCGAGAAAAGACCGAGCTCAAAGATTTTGACTTAATTGGATGACAGTGCACAGGTGTCTGATTAGACGCTACATTATGGTGACAATAAAGTAGAATTTTGCATACATCATCTCCCTGATGCTGTGACCAATCAATCTGGCTAAATAGCTAAGTTCCTTAAAAATGAAGCAGTAGTCATCCCTCGCTGTAAAAGTGCAAGATCAAACACAATGTGTAGGGCATCCAGGGCCGGCTCTGGGTATTTTTTGGCCCGGGGCGAAATAAAAAAAATGGACCCCTAGTTATGCAAAATCTTGTAGTTCTAAATTAATAGGCACTATGGAAAATATTATGGGCCCCGAGCGGGCGCCCCTTCTGTCACGGCCCAGGGCCGGCCCTGAGGGCATCTGAACAAACTTTGGCAGTTGATGAAATGATAAGGGCAAAAGTTATAAATTGAGTTTATAATTGAGGGTTTTAAGTTAAGGGTAGAATATAAAATGATGTAATTGAACAACTTCGAGGGTTAAATTGATGTGAAAATACGATAAAGGAAAAAGTAATAAATTGAATCTACTTCAAAGGTAAAAATTATCCTTTTGCCTAAAGTTTTTAATGGCGTGTACTGAAATGAAACAAAAACTAAACGTTAGGTATATTTTTAAAAAAAAATAAAAGTTTATGTACTAAAAAGTACTCAAACTAATAGTTTAAGTACTAAATGGATAGTTTACCCTAAAACAAATAAACTTTTATTTTATTTTATTTGTAAGCTGGTCAAATTTCAATCCATTTTGGTCACATATTAAGATAACCATAAGCACACGTACACAAGAAATTAACAAGTCATGCTGCGGACGAAATCTTTGATTCCCATTACCTTAACTTTATAATAATAATTCATTATTTCATTTATTTGGACCGACACACTTATTAGAATTCCGACACATAATTCCCTTTAAATTATAAAAACGATTTAATCATGTTCTTTTGCATGTTGGAAATTTGAAGTATAGAAAGGTGAAATTGTCGTTTTGGTCCATTTATTATGTTCAAACTAGAGATTTAAATCTTTATACTTTTATTTAGTATTAACTGATCCTTCTATTTTTTTCTATAATGTTATTAGTTAGTTTGAATAATAATATCTTGAATTATTATGGTTAAATTGTTAATGCAAAATTTTTTTCTTACAAATATTTATTTCAATTAGAAATATCATGGGCCAGGTTAAGTCGGACGTTTAATTCACCCAATTTCTACTTAAATATATAAGTATTAAATATCTCGTTTTATTAAGTAAATTAGAGACCTAACTAAAAAATATAAATAAAGAGTATTGTAGCAATTATCCGTAAATATATAAAGGTCACTTATATAATTATTCTCAAGTCGAGTATGATATTTTCACCATAAACTCGAACTCCTCTCGACCCGAATCAATCATTTAAAGAACTTGATTTGACTCGTTTAAATTAAAAAAAAAACCTCGATCTTATAAGGTCAGGTCATACCACCATCAAGTTCGGGCCAATTATCTATTTATAATTTGAGTAATTCCAATCCATCATGCTAATCGAGGACACATATGATTTTATGCTATATGAAAAACTTATAAAAATTTAAGAGACAAATAAATTATCAACAAAAAATAGAAAAATATTTAAATTATATATGAATTTAAAATTTTCAGAAGAGATCACCCACTATGATCAACCCTCTCTATCCACATCAATATTCTAGTGAATATAGTTGATATTGTTTAATTTAGATTAATTAATGATATTACAAAAATAGAGGGATTGAATAATATAAAACTAAAGTATAGGATCAAATTACAAATTTGAGTATAGTAAAGGGACCAAATACCTTCATATAACCAAATATTATGGACTTCCAAAAGCACCCCCAAGCATCAAGATAATTACAAGTCGAGCATTTTCAGACATCAATGAAGCTCTCTATTTCATGCTCAACGAGCGCCATTTTTTTTATCAGATTCATATGTTTTATTAGCTCCGTCAACTACATAAAAAACTAAGCTATACATTAGCCGGAAATAATGGAATCCGCCGCCGGGTCTGTCTCCGTTTCCGGCAACATGCCGCGCAAAGTTATTGCAGTTGCCGCCGGTGAAGCTCATACTCTGGCTCTCTCTGGCAGACAAAAGCAAAAAGCTTTCGTTTATTAGTTCAATTTCTTCTTCCTTGATCTGTATATAGTGATAAGAATTTTTAAAATGGGGGGGGGGATTTTAATAATGTAATTTGCAATGAATGGAAAATTGCAGGGGATCGGTACGTGTATTCATGGAGCAGAGGAATGTTTGGACGACTTGGGACTGGTTCAGAATCCGACGAACTTTTCCCGGTTCGGGTCAAGTTCCAGGAATCGGAGCTTAAGTTCATAGCTGTCGCTGCTGGCGCTTATTACAATCTTGCTCTTGCAGGTTCAGTATATTCTTGGGTTTTATGCTAAAACTTTTTAGACTTGCTTTTTTGTTGAAATAGTCTTTTTGATGTTTGTTAAAATGCCACACTGAATTTCCATTGTTATTAGCTGATCTAAATTTGATTTCCTTGACGCCTATGGATTGCAGATGATGGGTCAGTTTGGTCATGGAGTTATAATACATGTATCCTTTTTACAGTGGAATTTGTGGTAAGATTTGTTTTTGAAGCTGCATCATTGTCATCTACTCTATGTGCTTTCATTATTTATGCATTTTGGTGTATACCTTGACTGCCATATGGATGGCCAACTTGGTATGCACGGGGAGAGTTCTTTGGCACCTCAATCGATGGAGCGGTTCCTCGAATTGGGCTCCCCTGGTCAATCGAAAGCCGAGTTAGAGTTAGACTCGGAGAGAAAGAGTAAAACATCGTTGAAGGTATGACACGAGTTAATTGTTGCCGTAATTCAAATGATATGTTTTACATTCTTCTCATCGTTTTTTTCTACCATAGATTTGTGCTGTGAAAGCTGGGGGGATGATGTCACTTGCTATAGATAATCTTGGAGCCCTTTGGATGTGGGGCAATTGTCCACAGGAGAATAGCAATGGGGATGGAAGCTTGACATTTGTGAGTTGTTTTACTCCAATTCCTGTTTGGGATTTCCATGGCCATACTGTTGTTAAGGTTGCATGCGGAAACGAGCATGTTGTAGCCTTAGTCAGTGCTGGAGAAAAGCATGGAGGTGATGATCTCGTATGCTACACTTGGGGTGGAAATGGCCATGGTCAGTTAGGCTTAGGAGATACAGAGAACAGGGTCCGGCCTGAAATGATTGGAACATTTAACCAGGACTTTCAATGGACGGTTTACGAGGTAGCATGTGGTGCCTTCCACACAGCTTTGCTTACTCGCAAAAAGAGACCAAGTGACACGGTTGAGAGTATGTGTTGGACGTTTGGCCTTGGGGACAGAGGGCAACTTGGGCATGGAACCACCCAAACTGCCTTGGTTCCTGAACCAGTGAGAGTTACAACAGCCTATATATCTTGTTTCTGTTGACTGCGGATTGTTCCACACTAGTGTTGTTTCATCAGCCGGAGATGTGTGGTCATGGGGAATGGAAAAGGGTCTAGGGCTATGCCCCGATGCTAGTTTTACAGGAACAGATTCAGGAGATGCAATTTCTCCCCTGCGGATATCTGGTGATGGAGTGCATGGACCAAAATTTAATGATCCGGTCCAAGTATCTTGTGGAGCTGCACATACTGTTCTTGTTGCACATGATGGATACAAGCTATGGTCCTGGGGCAGGGGAAGGAGTGGAGTTCTTGGAAATGGAAAAACCGTTGACTGCTTCACCCCGTCAGTTGTGCTATGGCCCCCACTGAACGAGGATTTCAAACAAGAAGAGCTGAACCAGCCAGATAAAACTATAGATAAGAAGGGCTCTGATGGAAACTCAGAGATGTAAGTTATCTTTGGCCATTGAAGAGATGAAACTCCTACAATCGAAACTTTCCAGCATGGAACGTTATGCAAGCATACTTCATGGTTCAATCTTTGGTAAACCTTTTGAAGAGCAAGATATCCCGAATTCATTGCAAAGCTCTGGCACTTTTGATATTGCAAGGGAATGGGAAAGAATGTTGGAGTCAGCAGATCGTAGCAATCTTGTTAGGCTTGAAATGTTCTATCGAAACATGCTCGCTGGTGTGAAGGTTAAGATGATGAAGAAAAGGATCCAGGAGATAATAAAGGAGTATCTTCCTTCTTCAACGCAAGGAAAATAGTACGGTAACATCTTAATGAAACAACAGAAACATAAGGACACTCAGCATTGTTTTTACTGCGATAAGCTTCCCTATTACAGATACACATTACTACTTTTATTGGCTCATTTCTGCTAAGAAGGATTATGCATACTGTTAGCCATGAATTATAGTTATCATGTTCGTTTCTGGTCATAAATCACACTTGTACTGTTCTTAGACATATTAATACTCGAAATCATTTGTTATTGTAAAGGTTTTGTCAAAGTTTATTCATGGTTGAATGCCTTTGATATAGTAGTAATAAGATTGATATTTTATTGGCTTTGCTTATACTTGATCAAGAATGTTTATACATCTTTCACTCGAAGGAAGCACAGACTATATATTCCATTTGTTTTCTTAGAGTCCTTGTTTCATACATCGGTAATGGAGTTTCTTAACTTCCCGATCGGGAAATAGCTTCTCACAATATGCATCAATTGATAATATGTAAAATGCATCTGTATTTATGAAGCATGAGATGGTTCTGGTTGTGAAGAAGGTTGAGTTTGATTTTTACTCTTTGGGTACCCAACATCCATGTAGTCCATATGGTAGACCATAAGGCAGCTTTGCTCTTGCAATTTCTTCAAATGTTGATCCATCCAACAATAAAGCGTACCCGCTTCCATTTCTCTCACTAATCAAGGAGATTACAACACCGTCGTCTTCCTCCGTTGCACCTGGCCGAGCCACGAAGAATGGCTCTGACGGCACAGCTCCCTCATCATGCCAATTCTTTGCCACCTTCTTTACTAAATCAAGCTGCCACATCATAAACAAATCAACTTCAGCACATTCTTTTTGTCATATTAGTCATCATCATCATCATAAATTACCTTGGTGAGGGTATTAGGGAAATGGCATGGGCGTTTGGCCCCACAAGCATAAGCATATCTGTATTTTTTACCCAAATTTGCAGGGTTGATGCTGCACATATCCATGCCTTTGCCATGTTCATTAGGCTCCAATGCTGATTCCAACTTCCCATAGGGACTCCCATCCAATGGAATTGTGAATCTTCCCACCCTGGCAATCAAATTAATTGCAAGTCATGCATGCATGTAATATGTATGTATGTATGTATGTATGTATGCATGTATGTCTTGGGGCTTACCTTGCATCTGGTAATATGTCGTCCTCTCCATTGAAGGACCGTAGATTTTGAAGCCTAAGCCGATCGAGAATGGTGGTATCAGCGTTGTGTTCGCAACAATCGGCGATAATGGCAGTCACCCGACCATCTTCATCTTCCTCTTCGTACGCATTGATAAAATGAAACGTAATGAATAATGGCACCTCCACACTCGCCACCTTCAAAAGCATTTTTCAGGATGAAACAAAAACCGAAGCGTGACAGAAAGAAAATCGAATTCGAAATGGGAATTCACTTACAATTTTTCCACTAGCTTTGCACATAACATGGAGAAAAGCTTTAGACTCAGGATGCCACTCGAATTTGTACAATGGGGTTGGTTCAGCTCTGAGTAAGTTCTGTGCACAGTATCTCAATGGCATCTCGGGCACGACAACATAATGTTCGGTCACCGGAAATGAATGGACCCAACCGGGAGCCGGTCCAGTCCGACAGTTAACCCTTCCAATCAACTTCCTTTCATTGGTCCCTGGTTCCATTCTCACCACCAAGTAGCCAGGGTTCACTAAATCAGGCAACAAGGTCAAGAACTCGGTATCGGTCACTATCGGATGAGCCGAGTGTATCAATCCCCCTAAGCCATCACTATACTCGAACCTCCCCAGTGTTTCCAAGCTGTCGGGGTCGATAACTAGCGACCCTTTTTGAGTTTCCGTAAGGCAAACGACTCGGCCGTCTCCGAGCTTGACTACACCGGTGTTGGCGTTATCGGTTAGCGAAGCACCGGAGAAGAGCTTCGCGATGTCCCCAACGTAGGCCATGAAGTTCTTGTACTTGGGAACTTCCGAGAATTCTCTGAAACAAATCCTCTTGTTTTTCCTTGCAGCCTTGTAGGCTTCGGACTCGATTTGTCGGTGACCGGCGATCAACTGGCCGTTCTCGAAGTGGAGTTTGACTAGTGTTGCGTAGCCGTCAAAGAGGTGACGGAAGTTGTAATCTTCTATATGCCATAGGCCTGGGCCATTTCGCAGGTACGTCCCTTTCTGCATGTCATTAAGGTAAATTAATTAATTAATTATTTATTTTAATCAATAATTACCATATAAAATATACACTTGATATTGATTATATGTTTATAAATCTCTTGTATATAAAATATTAGCATGTCGTCAAGCTCTTCTGATATGTACTCCATAGTTTATATAAAAAACGATGACTATGGATCCAATGTTTACATAAATTATTTTAAATTAATACATACAGAAAGAAAGTTGTGACTAAATTGGAAAAAGTTACAAAGTTCAGGGACTAAATATGTAAAGGACAAAGTAGCTGTGATTTTGAGTGGCGATCAAAGATGAAATTATGTAAAGTTTGATGTATAATTTATTTTTGAGGTAAAATACAAATTTCATCACTCAATTTTTTCAGTCTTATTTTGGTCTTTAAAATTTAAATTTGTTTTAATTTACTCACTAATTTTTGTTTTATTCTTATTTTAATCGCCCGTCGTTAAATATTTAACAACATCATGGCTGAATATTTTTCTTTTAGAAAATATGAAAAGCACCCAAAACTTTATTTCTTATGAAAAAATCTTTAGTTTCGAATATCATTTGATTTATTGATGATGAAATATCTTCTTCCAAATCTCAACAATAGAGAGATGGAGAAAATGAAAGTAAGTTCTATATCTTGATTCTACGTTGCTGATCGGATGGTAGATATTATAGGCCAAAATGATTTAAGGTTTCATGAGTTTAGAGTATGGGGTTAAATTTTGTGAGTTTAAAATAATTTAAGTAAAATCTAAATTGATAAAGTGGTATGAGATGATAAAATGAGTTAATCGATATCTTGAATGGTCAGAGAAGACGTCAGAGAATGATAGTTGCGACATTAACGTGAGACAATAATAAAATTATAAAATTTTCATCTTTAGAAGAAGAAGATGAAATAAAAAAATAGAAAAAAAAGAGAAAATGACATGAATGACATGTTACGAAAAACCGATCCACATCAGCATACATGATTACCATGTCACCATTTCACTTATGATTTAACGCCCAAGGATCAAAATAAAAGGAAATAGAGAGTTCAATGAATAAATTAATTTTTTAAACTTCAATGACTAAATAGGAGTAAGAGGAGAATTGAGTACGAAATTTATAATTTATCTTATCTTTTCGAATAGAATAGTGATTTTCATTATTTATTCCCTTAATTATAATGAAGAACTCAAAGGTAAATTACATGTTTAGTATTTAAATTATCAATTGTGGTTTGTTTTAGTACCTAAACTTTTAAATTTTTTTCAAAATCATACCTAAAGTTTAGTTTTTGTTTCATTTTAGTATCATGTTAAAAACTTAACGTTAAATTTTAAAAAATTAAAAGTTTAGGTACTAAAAGCGTAGTTTATCCAAAAATCAATGTAATTATAGTATTTTTTCCTGATGTACGTACCAGCCACAAAGGTATTTCTCCTTGCACAACTAGCTCTCCTTCCCACCGTTCTTGCCTGACACTCGTCCATGCAGTGTGGTGGTTCCGATCCCGGCGACCGAATGTTTCCTCCTCCAACGACGGAACAATCTCCGGCCGTCGCAACGGACTCGCTACTCCGGCAATCGCTACCCGTCTCCTAGTAAAACCAGCCTTGTTCCCCAAGAAAAACCCACCATTCTTCACTGGAAAATGGTGCCTGCAAACACCAGAAAGTGACAGGGAATCCATGCGAGAGAGACGAAGAACAGGCCAGATATATATATATGCAGCTCAAAACGACACTAATAAGGACGAGCTGTGATTGTTGTTGTCTTAATGGCGTAAATCCCAGTAAGTATTTATAGAACAGCCTAGTGAGAGAAACAAAAGTTTAGTATTTGGAATCTTGATTAGTGGAATTCCCTTGCACTATAAGACACTAGGTTTAATCTCTTAACTCATATGATATAATTTATACTTCTATAGTAAATTGAATCGAACCTATCAAATAGGTTTTCTCATTTACAACTTACACTGTCATTTTCTCGAGAATCAAACGAAAAGTTTATTTTTCATTTGAATGTAAATATCGTTAGAGCACATATATTATACATGGACCAATGTTTTTAAAATCGGTCCGGACATTGAACCGGTGAAGGTACTGGTTCAACCGGATTCAACCGCGGTTGAATCGGATTTTATATAAAATAATTTTTTTTTTAATTTTACATAATATTCAAAGTAATATTAATATATATGTAACACTTTTTTTAAGTTTACAATATGAGAACAAAACAATCTCACATGGCTAAGAAACATTGAAGAGCATCCCAACTTATTTCTATAAATAATAGAGGTAATTTGACATTCAAAATTATGAAGCCTTTTGGTGAGCACAGAGCGAACTATTCTTTCGCTTTAATTGAGCTCAAATTTTAGGTTTCAGTCGAACTTCTAATTTTTTTTTGAGTTCGAGCCTTTTCGAGTTCAAGTTTTAATATTATATTTCGAGTTCGAGTTGAACTTGATAATTTTTAGCTCGTGAGTTTTTGAGTCGAGTTGAGCTTACTTTTAAAGTTTTTGAGTTTGAGTCGAGCTCAGCAATACTCGAATTTGACTTGGCTCGTTGAACAAACGACGTCGTTTGGTTTAATTTTTTTTAAAAGAAAAAAAGTGAACCGGTGGTTCAAACCGGTTTTATCGGTTTTCAGCCGATTCATTGCCAGACCGGTTTTGTGAGATAACCGGACATGCCACCGGTTCACGGTTTAACCGATTGAACCGGCCAGTCCGGTCCGATTTTGATAACCATGACATGGACGGACCTAAATTACATTCATGTGTAGGACACTTAAATTTTGGGATCATATGACGGATCACATTATACACTTATCATTAATCGACCTGTATGTTGTCAATAACTAAGTAAAACCCTTAATAAGTTATACTTTGTAAATCACCCTAAACTATTAAAAGAAAATCGAATGATTATATGTTTATCAATAATTTAATAAAGTGTTACGTCCTAACTAACTAATAATGTATAAAATTATACAATCTCTACGTTATTAGGTATTAATTTTAAGAATAGTGAACTAAACAATAAAAGAGAATGTTGTTTTCTTTGAAGGTCTTCGGGTTTGAGTAATTGGTCCGTAGAGTATATGTATATTGTTAATAGGTAAAAAATTTTCTGAATAATACTAATTTATAATCATCTATATTATTAAAAAAATATTAATTTTAACTATTGATATTTGATATATCGAGTATATATTTTTATGCACCGATCGATAAATAAAATGTGAAACACTGTTAAAAATAAATTTATTCAATTTTAAATTTTTAATGATATATTATCATTTTATTCATTAACAGTGCATAAAATTATACAATATCAATAAATCAAGTTATATTGATGTTATTTGTGCTATTTAAAATTTAAAATTTAGGGTTATATAATTTTAGAGTGTTCATATTTAAATGAGTTAATTGGATCATACGTCTTTAATATATGACCTTTATTTTAAATTAGTCTTTAAATTTTAAACATTTAAATTTCAGCCTTAAAGTATGATTACCATTCTAAATTAGTCCTCAAACTTTCGAACATTTCATTTTCATCCCCGAGCTGGGATATTCATTCTAAATTGGTCCCCAAACTTTTTGAATATTTCAATTTTATCCTAAATTATTCGTATATACTAATCACATCTCTTGTTAATAAAATCATTAGGCAAGTTATATTATTATATGTTTGAAAAAAATGAAATTTAGGTTAAACTATGGTTGAAACGGAATACATATTTGGATGAATCTGGGGATGAAATTGGGAGGTCTAAAAGATCAGGAATCAATTTAGAATGATATTCATAGTTTGGGGATGAAATTCAAATGTTCAAAAGTTTAAGGACTACTTTAGAATGAGAGCCATAGTTTGGGGATGAAATCAGAATATTTAAAAGATTAAAGATTAATTTGAAATAGAAGTCATAATTCGGGGACATACAATGCAATTAACACTATTTAAATTTAAGGTTTGAAATAAGTTTGAGAAGTTGACGTTGAGTGCAGCACATGGGGGTTTGATTTGCTTGTAAGGAAAAAAGGGTACCCATCGCCTAAATATTGTCATTTCCTTTGTCCTTGATGGGCCCATCAAGAATATTTTGGTTCGATGATGTTAATGTTGCCAAAATTTTGTTGCTTGGATCTTCCATTTCTCATATCCTCAAGCATAAAAAATGTTATTTGTTTTTAGGGTAAAGTACACAAATGGTCCCTTGACTATAGGATATTTTTACATTAAGTCCCTTGATCCTTCGACTATTAAAAGTTACAAATTGGTCAACTGACTATTCATTATGTTCCAAACTCATTATTTTTCGTTGAAAAATTGACGATTGTCTAAAGTGAAAGTCAACATGATGACTGAGATATGATAGTTTTTTGAGATTCTGGGATTAGATTTTATCATATCACAATTAGTGGATTAACGTTAAACTCAGAATACCGTCAATTTTTAACATAAAAGGACGATTTTGGAACATAATGAATGGTTGGGTGACCATTTAATAACTTTTAATAGTTGAGAGACTCAGCAAAGCAACACTCTATAGTTAGAAGACCATTTTGTAACGCTCAACAAATTCACTACTTGCGGAAAAGTATTATTAAAGGCAAGGCCATGAGTGAATTTGGGTTACTAAATTTTCAATTTATCTATTTTGGTTACTCCATCATTAAATTCTTAACAATGTTATGATTTAACATTTTTCTTTTAAAAATTGTGAACCTCTAAACTTTCTTTATTTTCTGTGAAAAATTGTCAGTTTTGACTTTTCTTTGATTTCTCAATAATTAAACATCTTCTTCTAAATTACAACGGTGGGGAGGTGAAGGAACAAACGAGCTATATATTTTGATTCTATGCTGACCAGATGATGGGTATTAAAAAAGTGGCTTTAGGTTTCACGAATTTTGTGATTAAGATTGAGTTTTAAAATGATTTAGCTAAAATCTAAATAGATAGAGTGACAGGAGACAATGAGGCAAGTTCATCGGTATCTTCAGTGGTTGGAGAAAACACCATAGAATGGTAATTGCAGCACCAACGTAACACATGTGGAATCGTAAAACTTTCATCTTTAAAAGAAGAAGGTTAAAAAAAGACGAAGAAATAACGTGGATGGCACATAGATTCCATGTCAATAAAAGTAGTCTACACCAGCACACATGACTATCATATCAACCTTCTGTTTATGATTAAACACCCGAGCGATCAACAATGGACCAAATCGAACCTTTACAGAGTGGACTGAAAATGCTCAACCTTTCATGACCAGATTAAGAGTGACAAGAAAGTCGAGTGACGAAATTCATAATTTATTCAGATTTCATAAACTCGGTTCGACTCGAAACAATTTCAAATAAATCTAAATGACGAAGGACGACTCATCAGTTCGATTTTTTTTACTCGATCGAACACACACCCTTAATTAGAATATCTCACCACCCAAAGTGGGATATTAAACAAATTTAAAACTTCCCCATGAATTCCAAAGCATCAATGATTTTCACCATGATCAAGATTTTCTTAAATATGATATAGATATGCACCCAAATTCCATGAGTTCATAGTCCATACCCCTTTGGGAAGGTGGGCAATGTGAATTCTTCAAGTTGCAAACTTTATAATAATTAGGGTACGTGTAAGGTTGCATTAGGACCCCATGTGTTGGCCAGTAGGTCTCATAGAATTGTAAAATTAACACACTTTGAATAATTTACAATCGAGCCCCAAATGGCAAGCATTATTATTGTCATCATTCCCTTCATCCCAATTTTGTCACCTTTCAGTAACTTTTTAGGGCAAATTACGTGTCTAATACTTAAACTATCAGTTTTCATCCGTTTTAGAACTTAAATTTTTTATTTTTTTCAAAACCATGTATAACGTTTAGTTTTCGTTTCATTTTAGTATCCCTCAATTAAAAACTTAACACGTTCAGTACCTAAACTTTGAACGTGGTACTAAAATGAAACAAAAATTAAAGTTTTCAATGGTAAGGTACTAAAATGAAACAAAAACTTTACTTCAGGTATGGTTTTCATAACATTAAAAGTTCTAAAATATATCAAAACTGATAGTTTAAGTGGTAAACATGTAATTTAATGTTCAGTACCTAAACTTTGAACGTGATACTAAATGAAACAAAAACTTAAGTTTTCAGTGGTGAGGTACTAAAATGAAACAAAAACTTTACTTCAGGTATGGTTTTCATAACATTAAAAATTTAAGTACTAAAACAGATCAAAACTGATAGTTTAAGAAGTAAACATGTAATTTACCCTAATGTTTAATCATAGTTATTGCTTCTGTATAAAGAAAAAAAAGTAAAAGTGCTTTGTCTGGGACCATGCATATGCTTAATTATACAAAAAATCACAAATCAAATTAGTTTCTGGATCTTCCTCAGATTCGGCTATTAAGGTATCCTGAGCGATCTTTCAGGACCCTGTTTTTTACATTACTCCTAATTTTTTATTTTTATAATTGAGTCCTTTAATTTTTTTCATTTAATTTTTTTTTCTTTATAATAGAAGGCTCTAATTTTTTTTAATTTTACTTTTTATCTTTATAATTGAGTACCTTAAAATTTTTTTATTTGATCTTTTGTCTTTATAATTGAGGCTCTTAATTTTTTTAATCTCACTTTTTTACATATATAATTGATTGCCTTAATTTTTTTCAATCCCACTTTTTATCTTTATAATTGAGCTCTTATTTTTTGCAATCTCACTTTTTACCTTTACAATTGAGGCCCTTAATTTTTTTTAATCTCACTTGTAATAATTATAATTGAGGCCCCTAATTTTTTCAATACCACCTTTTACTTATACAATGTAGCTCCCTAATTTTTTCAATACCACATTTTTCCTTTAAAATTGAGTCCTCTAATTTTTTAATCTCACTTTTTACCTTTATAATTGAGGCCCCTAATTTTTTTAATCCTACTTTTTACTTTTTAAAATTTAAGCCCCGAATTTAATTATTTTCTATGATTTATTAATATAATATTAAATTAATCATTCAAAACAATAAGATATACTTTTGTTGTACTAAAATGAAACAAAAACTAAACTCCATGCACTTTTTACCTTTATAATTGAGGCCCCTAATATTTTCAATCATACTTTTTACTTTTTAAAATTTAATCCCCGGATTTAATTATTTTCTATGATTTATTAATGTAATATTAAAATAATCGTTCAAAACAATAAGATATGCTTTGGTTGTACTAAAATGAAACAAAAACTAAATTTCAGGTATGGGTTTGAAAATAAATTGAAAGTTTAGGTATGAAAACGTACTAAAACTGATATTTTAGATTCTAAATGAACAATTTACCCTTTATTTTGAGGTGGTATCAAGTTTGGTATTGGGGGGATTAGTGTTTCAACTGCCCTAAGCAATCAACACCCTTGTAATTGCTAAGGTCTAATCCATGTCCCTCTTGATTCCCTCAATTGAATTTTTATTAATACATGACATATATATAGTACTTATTTCATTATTTTTTGTTTTATTATAGAAAAAAGGCTTTCTCTTTTATTTTATTTTTTTATAAAAAATATTTTCTTTTTTGTGGCAGACAAAATTAGGGTTTCCCACAACAAACCAATGCCCTTATATTTTAATTAGGGGTTAATAAAATTTTCTTAATTAGTGGAGACTTGAGGGTCCAATTTCCATGATTGCTATGAGTGCCACAACATTTTCAAACATAAAACGGCGGTCAGGCCTTTGATTCGAGTCATTGTGTGTACAAAAAATCACCGTTGAAAGATTCACTCGCTGAAATCAAATATACGATGCGAGTTGATCCAGATTAATCGAGACGAAACTCTGGAATCGGAGGGGGAAAATGAATTTTTCGATTTGATGTTTGAAATTTTCTACTCTATTTAGGCAGACTCACACTTAATAGATTTTATTGTTTTTCAATGATTAAATAATATTTTTTAACCTATGAAGTTGTATTTCATTATAATTTTGTGATTTTATTATTTTTGATATTTAATTTAATAATTAATTTTTTTAATCATGATATATGTTATCAGAACCCATTTTTTTGGATGACAATGGGTCGGTTTTTTTGTCAATCTGACCCAACTCGAAAATATGCAACATCCACTTGAACTTAACCCGACTTGAAAATTTTATATCATACATCCGACCTGATCTAACTCGAAAAATATATATCATCCACCCGAATTCGAACCGACCCAATTTTTTAGAGTATAAATTCGACCTGATCCAATCTGACCCGATATAAATTAAGGATTTAATTAAAATAATAATAAAATTTTTAAAGAATTTATATTATTATTCTCGGGTTTAGTCATATAAGAGTTTTTTCACACTCCACCCGAATCTAATCCGACCTGACTTCACCCCTTAAAAAATCGACCTGATCAGAACTATATTTTTTTTAAAAAAAATGACCCTATAAAACCGGATCAAGTTAAAACCCATCAAATTCGAGTTAAATTGCCATCCTATTCTTTTCGTACAAAAATCCACACGATACTCTTTGAATGCATTTCGTGACACATAACATATATTATAAACTACCTCGGGTCATTTATTTTCATTTTCTCATTTTTCATGACTGAAATTTCAAAAATTATATTTTGATCACTTAATTTACCAATTTGTTATAATTTGGTTATTGATTATTAGCTCTTGAACAAAAGAGTTAATTTTTAATTTGATCTCTGAATTTTAATTTCATTCATTTTTCATATTTTTCAAATAGAAAAAAAAAACCTTTAAACTCTCTCAACATTAGAATTCCGTTGAAAACTTTTACCATCAATTATTGTTTACCACCGTCGACCACCGCTCGTGTACAAACTTTAAATAATTTATGTTACCAATGAAAAAAATATATCGACTTCTTAATGTATAATCCGATCAAATACCAAATGATTAAATAAAAAAATTACCATTCATCTGATCTCTTATTCGTAATGTATTATGGAAAGAGAATGCCGACATCTTATTAGTGGAACAATCGCAACATAAGTTTGATGCTCCATAATATAAATTAGGATAAATTATGTATTTAGTACCTAAACTATTAGTTTTAATCCATTTTAATTTATAAACTTTTAATTTTTATAAAATCATACATAAGCTTAGTTTTTGTTTTTTTAGAACCCACTGTTAAAAACTTAACGTGTCTAGTACCTAAACTATCAGTTTTGGTCCGTTTTAGTACCTAAACTTTCAATTTTTTCAAACTTAATGTTAAATTCTGACCATGATACTAAAATGAAACAAAAATTAAAGTTTTTAACGATGGAGTACTATAATAAAATAAAAACTAAATTTTAAGAATAATTTTAAAAAAAATTAAAAGTTTAGGTAGTAAACAAACAAAAAATGATAATTTATATACTAAATACGTAGTTTACCCTATAATCACGTCTGTTTACATACACATCTTGTTTTCTAGCAATTTGCATAATTCAGTTTTGTTTTGACCATTTAATGGTGATGGGTTGAAGATTTGACAATCATGTCGATTCTTGACTGAAACGTAATGAAGCCAAAATTTTCTTGCGTCTTTCCCAGTAACCAAACAGTGTTTTCCAATATATTAAATAACCAACCCAATAATAATCGATAGTTTAAGGCCTTTATCGTATTTTTATATCAATTTAACCTTTAAATTTATTTAGCAGTATCAATTTATATCTATCCTAACTTAAAATCCTAAATAGAGTTTAAGGTTTATGAGTTTATGATTTAAGGTTTATGATTTATAATTTTGAGTTTTAAGTTAGGAATAAGATCTAGAGTGATGCAATTGAATAACTTCAAAGACTAAATTAATGCGAAAATATAATAGGGAAGGAAATAATAAATTAGGGTTTTAAGTTTAGGGTTTAGGGTTTATGATATATAATTTTGGGTTTTAAGTTAGGGGTAGGATCTAAAGTGATGTAATTGAATAACTTCCAAGACTAAATTAATACGACAATATAATAAGGACGGAAATAATAAATTGGGTTTACTATAGAAACAAAAGTTACCATTTTACCATAATCGATCAACTAATCAAACATTCCTATAGAGATTTTATTTAACCTGTTGTTTTTAACACTGAGTATGGAGGAATCAAACGGTTCATCGTGGCTGCTGAGTCAACGTGTTATTATCAGAATCAATGATGGATGAGGGGGCGGACAGAGACAATTGTCTCTTTTGAAAATTAAAAATTATTATATATTTTAGATTTTTTCTATATATTTTGGCACCCCTGAAATTTTATAAATTTAAATACATCTTCCCTAAAATTTTATAGATTTAAATTTACCCGACATAAAATACTACTTCTGTCTCTAATCGAAATCATAATAATATTTCATATAAAAACTTCACCATCTACATCTACTGTAACAACATATTTTTATGTTTGTGTTTAATGATGAAAATGACAAAAAATCTACCGATGAAACCCGGTCGACGATGAATAAACATCCGGTCTAAAAAATTGTATTAATGTAAAGTAAAATCTCACATTAATTAATTTTGATTTGTTTTAGTACTTAAATTTTTAAATTTTTCATAATTATACCTAACGTTTACTTTTTGCTTTATTTTAGTATTTCACTATTAAAAACTTTAGTTTTTGTTTCATTTTAGTGCACTGTTCAAAATTTAATGTTAAGTTTTGAAAAAATTAAAATTCAGGTACTAAAACATATCAAAATTGATAGTTTAGGTGCTAAGTGCGTTAAGTTTTTACAGGAGTTGTACTAAAATGAAATGAAAACTAAATATTAGGTATGATTTTAAAAAAATTGAAAGTTTAGCTATTAAAACGGACCAAAACTGATAGTTTAATTACTAAATGCATAGTTTGTCCTATTAATTATTATAATTATTTGGTTAATTATGGTTGTAAATGAAATTAGATAGATCACAAGCTATTTGAGTTCGATTCAACTCAAATTTTAAACAAGCTACTTGATACCCGATTTGAAAAAAAACTATATTATTTTTTATTTTTCGAAAATTAACATTGTAAGGTTTTCATATACTTCAAGTTCAGATTCGAGTTTGAGCTTTAATTGAACTAAGTTTGGGAATGTTTTAAATTTAAGTTTTTTCGAGCTCGAGTCTAGCTTCAACTTTTGATTTTGAGTTCTAGATGAACTTGACAATTTTAAGCTCACGAGTTTTCATGTCGAGTCGAACTCAACTTTGAACTTTTTGAATTGAGTCAAGCTCAGCAATACTCGAACTTAACTCGGCTCGTTTAAAATCCTACAACTGACCGAACTATATCAGAGCATTGACCTATAAATAAAAAAACTACTCAATAACTTGTATAGTAGAACCCCTTTACCATGTACAAACTGTGATTTTATGCTTTAAAATGGCATTGCATTTTATCAACACATGATTTTACGGCAATGGATTGTCACCTACGATATCGTTTAACTCGGCTCGTTTACAACCCTACACCCGACCAAACTATATCAGAGCATTGACCTATAAATGAAAAACTACTCAAGAACTTGTGTAGTATAATCCCTTCACCATATACAAACTGTGATTTTATGCTTTAGAATGGCATTGCGTTTTATCAACACATGATTTTACGGCAATGGATCGTCACCGACAATATTGTTTAAGTAGAAAAGATTTAGAAGTATGGTCCGTACCTATGCCACCGTGATCTTTATCCGGTTATAGCCCGGGGGGTTTTAAAAATGGAGCCGGACCAAAGATACCTTCCATATCAACAGGGACCTGGAGAGCACTTTTAATGACCTCTGGTGTTGTGGTCTTGCCTTTCCAAGTGTTAAACCATGTCCCTCCTCCTACTTCTAGTGCTGCCATGTCACTTTTAACATCCAAAATTAGCTGCATATCGGAAACATGTACCGGTAGCGAGTATAAGCCTCCAGGGAAGCATGATATATCGGTAGGAATAAGATGTAAAAATTTTCTGATCATTGGTCAGCAAGAACTGATACAAATGGGTTTTTTTTCTAGCTGTAAATCGATGAAACGATATGTTCATAACTGTCGGGAAGGTAACGATAACGTACCTTGCCCTTACTGCCACCAGCATTTTTCTCCCAGATCTTCAATGTTAGATCACCGGAACAAGTGTCCTTACAAGCAGGAGCAAGACCGGCCTCTACCGTGGGAGCGCGTAATGTTGCACCCGAATCGGTTGTTGTTGCCTCTAACTCGACCTGTGCTCGTAAATAGGAGTATATAAGAGTTCACCAATAAATACAGTTAAACTTGAAAGAAATTTTACAATCATCCAGACCACCTAGCAAAATCAATTCTATGAGTTCAAATCTCCAAGGCCAAATGTAAAATTACCATATGTGTTGTGTTTTCCGCAGCAACGTTCCAGTAACCCCACTGAGAAATTTCCCAAGTTAAAACGCCATTCCATGGCACAAATTCGTAGAAAATTCCGTCATAGTGCACTCCGATCTACACAAGCATAAAGAAACAGTTTATACATCAAGCTATACACAATTAACTACCAGTTTACAACAAAAGATATAGTTTGCTTTGATTAAAAGGCATAGATGATGTGACAATATCCAGCTTTCAGTTCTTAAAACTTTTAAGAATACAACCATATATGGCCTTACAAGATTCTTTTCATGCTACAGGAATCATTGACAGAGCCAGAGAAGAAAAGAAGACATGAAAATTGCTAAAACTGAAGTACCAATGCAGCATTTTCGAAGGTCTCGGTCAGGCCAGGCAGTTGCCTTAATCCACCAGCAGCAGTCAGAGATATTTCTCCCCTAGTAGCACCTTCAAAGACATTACATTGAGCCTGCAGTAATAGGTCAATCATGAAATCACCATGATTAAAAAGAAGACGGCTAAGTTTGATTCAGTAGAAAACCTAGCACAACCAAAAAATGTCTTTGGATCATCCATAGTTCAGCTAAACATTCAAGGGGATGCGAAGGAATGAAGAATTACCCAAAACCATTTTCTAGGGAAGCTTGCACCCCAATTCTTTTCTGAATATGAAGGGGCATCTTGAAACTCAAACCTTTCACCATCCCACTCTATCCAGCCTGCAGTCCAAAGTCACAACATGAGATAGTATTCTCAATAAAAGCATGGATTTCCAAAGAGAATAAATTTCAGTCAAGATGATCGGAAATAATAGTGATTGATCGGCATAGAAAACTGAGTACAGACGCAGACCGCGGTACACACAAAAAAAGTAAATAAAAAAGAGGAAATCCAATCAATGTACAATTGAAAATAGGAAGGAGAGAAGCAAGTACCTGTCGAAAGTCCAGAGGCCATACAAATTTGCCAATGGGGTTCAAATACGGGAAAAGCAGCAAGCCAACCAGCTGTTGACTTCTGCTTGGACCCAACATCACCCCATCCGTATATGGGGCGAGTACTGTACTCCCAACATGCAGTTTTAACAGTTTCTGTATAATATGTCCTGCAATTAAAACCAGACCATATAAAAGGAATGCTGAAATAACTGATAATAATGTTAGAAATGTTTCCCAATTTCTAGTTTTGATTAACCTAACATGTAACTTTGTATAATATACTTTTGAATGGAAACAGGAAATAGGACTTGAAGGGAAAACCACTTCTGTTCTGATGGCATGTTTGTAAGGGAAAGAACTTTTGTAACTATTGAGCAGGAATTCCTGTGCAGGGGAGCACAAGCACAACTACCATAAAAATACAGTTCATCGATACATCTCACAAAGGCGTAACATTTTAGGACACTTAAAAAAAAAAGTATCTGCTGTTTCTTCACACACTGGCACCACCAGTCTGATACATCTTCACAGCTAGAGTTAAATGATTTATGTTTATCTACGGAAAGTAAAAATGACAGAAGGTAAAACCAAAGCAAGGATTTATTTCATATGTTGGATATTAATATGGCTTTGATATGCGGAATCACCTGCCATCATCACGAATAAAGCCTTGATTCCAAAGAGGGGTAACTTGAAAGCCTTCCGAAACTTTTCTATTGAATTCCTACAAGGAGCAACCATACAAAACATTTGAAGTTACTGAAGAATTGAGATTAACCAATATAAAATATCTCAAAGCAGAAGCGTTCAGGCTAGCTTTGCAGGCATTCTACTTCGAGGAGTAGAATCCAAAAACTGCTGACTAACCTGGGGAGGAACCTCCTTACTTGGAGGTCGTGAGGCTTTGTTGGCTACAAAAGTATTCCCCAATACTAGCTCGTGTCTTCCTATGCAATGAAAAACTGTTAATTAGGCATATACATTTTATCGCTGCACTATTAAGGTATAAAAGGTAAAAACACCAAAAGTTGAATATAGTATACTAAAACAACTAAACAGATGCAATTGAGCTTTTATAAAGTTTATAACAGTGGGATATAGCGATGCTGAACAACCTAAGCACGCATATAATGTTATTAGGTTGCTATGGTGCAAAAAATGGGTGAAACATCACAGTGCAACAAAATTAAGAGGTTGAAATGAATCAACATCAAGTTAAATTCGCTTGGTAAAACAAATTATTTTTTTTCGTAAGAATTGGTAAAACAAATTAGAATATCAGCATATATGCTATTTTACACTGAAATCAGCATGGTGCAGCATATATTTCCATGGTAAAACAAATTAGAATATCAGCATATATCCTAAAGACAGCAGTTTCATACTTCCACTACTAAATGCTTAAAAGCTAGCAGAGAAGAAAACTACTTCCCCAAAAGCTTTGAGATTCCTCGGCGTATTGGCATATATACTTGTCATAAGCACCAAGAATTTGAGCCCCAACTCCTGTAAATCTAGGTCCGTGCTGCAGTGTTTCTAATGGCGACAGTTTCTTCCTAAATGCAGGATTCTCAACCGAATACATGAAGCAAAAGCTCTGTTTTCGTTCTGGTATTGATACCTTAAAGTACCAACCCTCAAAAAATGGTCGAGCAGTCCCATCAAAGTGGTACCTACAAACAACTTTAGCATTCAATTATTGGAATTTTATAAAACAGAGCCTTTGGTTAGCTGATCACTCTAAAATATAGCCCTGAGGAACCTGATTATTACATTTTAAGGACGTTTGACAGTAATGTAAGAGTTGGATTACTCCGTGAGACTTCTGCAATTTAATCCAATTATACTAATTTTTCTTCATCTAAAATCAGATATATTATTAATTAATTAATTAATTATTAATTAAAGACGCACGAGTAGATTAAAACTGTTTATGAAAATATCCACTATTACTGCACCAAATAACAATTCATACTTAAATAATAATTTTATTAATTAAAAATTCCGGTTCATAACATGCATGATATAATATTAATTTAAATTTTAAAAACTTAAAGACTAGTCGAAATACCCGCTGTGCGGAGTTCGAGTGTCTCGTTTGGCCGGCGTGGGAACATAAACCGGTTTAACGGGAACCGGCCTCTCGGCTGCCGGCGAAGCGGTTTCGGCCTCGGAGATGGAGCTGCAGGCGACAACCGGCGAGTTGGATCCAAATCTTACACGGCTGAGAGGGCGGAGCCGTCGAGGGGAGCATGCATTGGAAGTTGAAGATTGAGGGAACTTAGCGGCGGGTTTGGAGTTTAGCGAGCGAAGTCCAATACAACAAGGAGAAAACCGATGAAGCTCGTTGATTACGTAAGTGTTTGGATCCATGGAAAATCCGAGGAATTTGAAAAGAAAAGCAGAAGGGAAAACGAATTGAATCGTGAAATTTAAACTGAATACAAACAACTATATGCGAGCCGGTCCTCAACGAGGAAGTAGAGTACCACAAGTTTGAGCAATACGTGTGATATATATATACTTATGATATTCCTTGTAATAATTAATTTTTTTTATATAATATCTAAATTATTTGAATAAAAATAAAATAATAATTGGAGTCTAATTATTAATTTATATATTTAAAATAATAAAAAAACCATATACTCTAATTTATTTAATTTTAAAATTAGAAATGATCTAAAATATATTTAGGTAATTTATGCGTTTAGTACCTAAACTATCATTTTTAATCTGTTTGAGTATCTAAACTTTTATTTTTTTTCAAAATCATACCTAAAGTTTTGTTTCATTTTAGTATTCATATTCAAAATTTAACGTTAAGTTTTAAAAAATTTAAAATTTTATATACTAAAATGGACTAGAATTGATAATTTAAGTACTAAACGCGTTAAATTTTTAACGGTGGGTTACGACTATAACATCTTTAAGAGTGATGAACAAAAAACATTTTGCTCTAAAAATTCGGTTATTATTTACGTAGTTTTCTTTTTTGTATATGTAGTGTCTTTGTCATTTTTAAATAATATATTTTTATAAAAATTATAATATTAAAAGTCAAACTCAATTTATTTTATCTATAATACTAGAATTTGAACTTTTAAAGTTATTTAAAAAAAATATGTTATTCTATAAAATCAAGCGTAAACTATGCATTTAGTACCTAAACTACTAATTTTGATCCATTTTAGTATTTAAATTTTTAATTTTTTCAAAATCATACATAACGTTTAGTTTTCATATTATCTTAGTACCCCACCGTTAAAAATTAAAGCGTTTAGTACCTAAACTATCAGTTTTGGTTCGTTTTAGTAACTAAACTTTCAATTTTTTCAAAACTTAACGTTAATTTTTGAACATGTACTGAAATGATTTGGCCGTTTTAGTAACTAAACTTTCAATTTTTTTAAAAAATTAACGTTAAATTTTGAATGGGATACTAAAATGAAACAAAATCTAAAGTTTTTAACGGTTGGATATTAAAATGAAACAAAAATTAAACCTTAAGTATGGTTTTAAAAGAAATCAAAGTTTAGGTACTAAAATAGACCAAAATTAATAGTTTAGGTATCAAACGTGTAATTTACCCAAAATTATTAATTTAGATATCAGTTTTGGTCCGTTTTTGTAACTAACTTTTAATTTTTTCAAAACTTAACGTTAATTTTTGAACAGGTACTGAAATGATTTGGTCTGTTTTAGTAACTAAACTTTCAATTTTTTTAAAACTTAACGTTAAATTTTGAATGAAATACTAAAATGAAACAAAAACTAAACCTTAAGTATGGTTTTAAAAAATATCAAAGTTTAATTACTAAAACAGGCAAAAATTAATATTTTAGGTATCAAACGTGTAATTAACCCAAAATATATAAACATCGACAGCAGGATTCGAACCTGAGCAGGCAATGCCCAACAGCTTTCGAGTCCGTCTCCTTAACCACACGGACATCTCGACGCTTTTGATTGTGTATCAAATCAAACTATAATATCTTATTTAACAGATCACGCAAAAAGTGCAGCAAAGCAAAGGACATTTAATTTGTTTTACCCCTGGATTTATCATTTTGGAATGAAATTATTATTATTATTTAATATTCAAATTTTTTTCAATTTGAATAATAATTTATTCATTTTATATACTTTTATAAAATTTTAAATTTTAATATTTTTTTATGAAATAAACCGATTTGTATATCTTTAAAATTGACAAATATTTTTTTAATCTGAGATAAATACAAGATAATATAGTTTTAAAGATAACTCTCAACCATTTGACGTTGCTCACTCGCACCCATGACATTCTTGGTGTTCGTAACCGGGATCTCAAGAAATAACTACAATTTTATTATCACCGAGGTTGCTTGATTCGTGAAGAATTATTAAAATTTTATTAAATAAAAAATATTATATTTTAAGATAAATGTTAAAATTTGAAATTATATAAAATAAAATACATAAATAATTTTGACCACTCGACTAAGTAATAGATCTCTTATTATTATCTATTTCATTGACAATAAACAATTTTTAATATTTTAAAAAATATTACCCGTAAAATAATATATTTTTCATTTGGGATGTCATATTTTGAAGAATTTTTTTCTTAAAACAATTATTTTCAGTTTTGATAATTAATTTTTTGTGATCTCTTAACCAAATTGTTTAGATTTTAATAATTTAATCAATTAATTGAACAAATTCGATTTGAGTAAATGAATTTATATAATTTGATAAATGTTTCATACATATAATTAATTATATAAATTATTTTAAAAATATTATTTAATATATTAATAATATGTTAAATATAAGGTTATTATAAAATTTAAATGAGAAATGGAATATGAATTTTTAATAAAATGTTTTCAATTAATGTCAAACGACGCCGTATGCTTGTTTTGCACTGTCAGTCCCCCTATGCTATTTCTGTATACTGTTTAGTTCCACTACTTTTATTACTTTGTCTGTTTCGTCACCCCAATTTCTTCACAACATTTTTTTTATTTAAAAAAAAAAACACAATTTTTAAGAAGAATTTAATTTTTATTTTTACATTTTGAAACCTCCCATTTTTTTATTCTAATTTTATATTTTATTTTTTTATAAAAATAATACTCTTTAAAATAGTGATCGCACTCTAGAATTATAAACTTCATATTAAATATATATTAGGTATAATGTCAAAATTAACTCCTAATGTTTATCGAAATAGTTATTTTGACCTATATTATTTTTTAGAGCATTTTAACCCCTAACGTTTCTTTTTAAGACAAAAAAAGCCTCTAACGTTTGACTAGATAATCACTTTGATTCCCCCAATGTTTCATTTTGGAGATAAAAACCCGTACTTTGGAGCACTAACCATTCGTTAGTTAATGATTTCTATCCACATAAGGGCCTTTTTGCCCAAAAAAAACATTATGTGCCAAAATTCTTTAAAAAAAAGGCAAAAGGATAATTTTTGCCCCTGTTATAGATTCAATTTATCGCTTTTGCCCTTATCATATTTTCGCATCAATTTAGCCATCGAAGTTGCTCAATTGCATCATTCTATACCCTACCCCTAACTTAAACCTTAAATCATAACTCCATAATCTTTAAACTATAAAATATAACTCTAAACCCTATTTTAGGGTTTATAATTTAGGGTTTTAAGTTAGGGTAAGATATAAAATGATGCAATTAAACAACTTTGAGGTAAATTGATGCGAAAATACGATAGGGACGAAAATGATAAATTAGGTCTACTACAGGGGCAAAGTGGTTAACCGGATTAAAATAGCTATATTTAGTCAAATGTTATGAGTTTTTTTTTTGTTGACATTATACCAAAATAATATATATTTGAAAAATTCTCTCACCAAAGTAACCCTATTCCAATACCTAATTACTTATCACATTACCTACCTTAGTTTAAACAATTTAAGATTAAACCTAAAAAGAAGAAAGCCTAGGAGTTATGTTTAAATTTCAACGAAAAAATAAATTTTTTTATTTAAACAAATGTTGTGTTATAATTTTTTTTACGATTTTAAATTTAATTCGAGAAAGGAAGGAGACCCTAGGAAAAAGAACAAAAGTACTCTTAGTTGATCTAGAACTTATGACTACGGGAATACAAGAGAATAAAGATAAATAATTTGACCAACCAACCATACGTACTTCCTCGTACCGTCACCTTCTTCTTAATGAAAATAAATGATTTTTTTAATGTATTTAAATTCACTAATTCAACTTACCAAACTATTAATTATTGGTTTAACTTATTCAATTAATCGATTTAGTCAGCTTCTGATAATTATGGTTTTAATTCCTTTTTCTTAGCATCAAAATAAACATATTAATCTTTTAATATTGGGTAAACTATGTATGTAGTACCTAAACTATCAGTTTTGGTCTGTTATAATACCTAACCTTTCATTTTTTTTATCAAAATCATACCTAACATTAAGTTTTCATTTCATTTCAGTTTTGGTCTGTTATATTGTCACCTTATTTTTGGGTAAATTACGCATTTGGTACCTAAACAATAAATTTTGGTTTGTTTTAGTACCTAATTTTTAATATTTTCAAAACCATACCTAACATTTAGTTTTTATTTCATTTTGGTACCCCTCATTAAAAACTTAATGCATTTAGTACACACTATAAGTTTTGGTCCGTTTTAGTACCTAAACTTTCAATTTTTCTAAAACTTAACATTAAATTTTGAACGGTATACTAAAATGAAACAAAAACTAAAAATTTTAACGGCAGAGTACTAAAATGAAACAAAAACTAAGCTTTAAGTATGATTTGAAAAAAATGAAAGTTTAGGTACTAAAAAAGATCAAAACTGATAGTTTATGTACTAAACATTTGATTTACCCTTTTTACCCAAATTTGTATCTTGGTGTACAATGCATGTAATCTTTTTATTTAGAATATAAAAATATATTTCCTTTTTAGTTTCTTCTAAGCATTGGTTTCTATTGTATAAAAAGATCCCATACTAAGACATTTCACCAAATAAATACTTTCACACCCAACCCTCAGATCTACAAACAGTCTTTGAATTGTCCAAAAAAAAACATGCACTCCATGTATTGTTCTCGGTGGCTGCTTCTGCTTCTATGGTGTTGGACCATCTCGGTCCATGCCATCCCACCACGAGACCCGGTCCAATGCAACGGAACCGGGTGCACCGTCTCCAATTCCTACGGTCCGTGGGGGGATCGAAATGACTGTCACGTCAAAACCGTGAAGTACCCAGCGACCGAAGAAGAGCTTCGTTCGGCCGTCGCGTACGCCAACAAAAACAAGCTCAAGTTGAAAGTGGTCAGCAAGTTCTCGCACACGATCCCGAAACTAGTCTGCCCTTCGTCAAGCGACTCGTTGTTGATAAGCACGGCGAAATACAATTCCGTCATTCGAATCGAATCGAATTCGACGGTGACGGCCGATGCCGGGGTGGCGTTACGTGACCTGATCGATCGGGTCGAAAAGTCCGGTTTGAGTCTGGTTGCGGCGCCGTATTGGGAGGGTGTCAGCGTGGCGGGGATGATAACCACCGGGGCACACGGAAGTTCGTGGTGGGGCAAAGGAGGAGCCGTTCATGATCATGTCGTCGGAATTAGCATGATTGTTCCTGCAAATGAATCGGAAGGGTACGCCAAAGTGATCCAAATTGGTCCTCAAGATCAACTCCTAAATGCAGTTAAAGTCTCACTGGGAGTTTTGGGTGTCATCTCCAAGGTAATTTGTTTCTCTTTAATAAAGTTTTTGGACTAATTTGAAATTTTATATATAGTTTACGACCTCTTATATAATTAACCCAAAGAAAACGACAATAGCGTAAGAACTAATTAATTACATGTCTGGATCATGATATGCTCTTATTTGTTTTATGGACATAAAATATTAGGAAACTTTGCGGCAAAGGAAACATAAGCTGTACATATCTAATCAAGGGCATAATGTAAAAATTATGTTAAAAATAGCCCCCAAAATGTTTATCAAAATAATTATTTTGACTTTTCAAATTCTTTTTAATATTTTGATCTTTAAAGTTTCAATTTGATCCTCAACATTTCGATAAAAATAAGTTGTTAACTATGATTTTTAACAAAAAAAATAAGTTTTTTATCCTAAAATGAAACGTTAGGGGTCAAAATGACCATTTTGAGAAACTTTGGGGTAATTTTAATTTTATGCCCTTAATCAAATAGATTTCTTACTAAAATTACGAGGTGGATTGTATAGTAAAAATTTCGTATCGAAACACATAAAAAAATTTAAAAACCTATATTAAAATTAATAATACATGCAGGTGAAATTTTTACTGGAACCGGAATTCAAGAGAAGCGTTACGTATAATTTCACGAAAGATGATTTGATGGAAGAAAATTTCATAGAACACGGGAAGAAATACGAGTTCGGAGATATCACATGGTATCCGTCGAAACATACGACGGTGTACAGATACGATAATAGAGTGTCCATTAGCTCCCCTGGTGATGGAGTTAATGATTTTCTTGGCTTCCAATCCAATGAAATCCTCATCTCTCAATCTGTGAGAACATCAGGTATAAGCTCCACTTGGTACTCAATTCTTTCTTATACAGATATATATTATATGCTTGAAAATAAAATAAAATTTAGGTTAAGCTAGGGTTGAAATCGGAAGATTCAAAAGTTTGAGGATCAATTCTGAATGAAAGTCATAGTTTGGGATGAAATTAGAATGTTTAAAAGTTTAAGAATTAATGCAGAACGAGGGTAATATTTTAGGGATGAAATTAAAAATTTTAAAAGTTTAAGGATCAATTTAAAATATAGATCATAATTTGAGAACATAATATACAATTTACTCATAAATCAAACAACTAGTATTTATAGGGACGCATATCTAACATCGGTACATGCAGGAACGAAGATGTGCTTTGTTTGATAGGTTAATATCCAAGTTTCTTAGGTATAATATAAAAAAAATAGTCCTCAACGTTTATTAAAATGATCATTTTGACTCATATCAAATATTTAATCAAACGTTAGAGATATTTTTATCTTAAAATAAGACGTTGGGACCAGAATACTCCAAATAAAATATAGACCAAAACGATTATTCTAATAAACTTTTGAAGTTAATTTTGACATGTCGATTTGTTATTATTAAAGAATATATATATATATATATATAATAGGACACAAGATAAAATATTTAATTTTATACACATTTTAATAATCTGTCACGTATTTTCACTTATCCGATAATTATACACACATTCTAGTTTGTCCTATATTTTCACTTAGTCGACAATTTTATATATATATATATATATATATATTTTAGGATCCATTCGTAAATTTTTTTTAATTTTATATAAATTTATAATTGTTAGATGTGTGACTGACATCGTGAATTTAGATCTTTGAAACGTGAGAAATTTTGCAGAAAAACTGTTCGAGAGCACCAGAAGCGTCACCGGACACTGCACGTTGGCGGCCACTACATTATCGTACAAGAAACTGATCGGCAACGGATTGAAGAACAACGGCCTGATCTTCACCGGCTATCCGGTCGTCGGCCGCCAAGGCAATATGCAGACATCCGGTTCATGTCTATATTCACCTACGACAAGGCTCGACGCCTCCTGTGCTTGGGACCCCAGGATCAAAGGCCTCTTCTTCTACGAGTCGACGGCGATATTCGATATCCCGAAGTTTGGAGACTTCATCAAAGACGTCAAAAGACTCCGTGACATCGAACCGGAAAGCTTCTGCGGCATCGATCACTACAATGGCATCATGATCCGATACATAAAGGCTTCCGATGCGTATCTAGGACAACCCAAGGACTCCGTCGTGATCGATTTCAACTATTATCGAGCCGACGACGCCTCGACACCGAGACTAAACGAGGATGTCATGGAAGAGATCGAGCAGATGGCGTTTTTCAAGTATGGGGCACGACCACATTGGGGTAAGAACAGGAACCTGGCGTTTACGAATGTTCGGACCAAGTACCCGAATTTCAACAAATTTGTCGCGGCGAAGAAGCAATTGGACCCCGAAAACATGTTGTCCGGCGACTGGTCGGACGAGATATTGTTCGGAAAAGGAAGCGTAAGAAGCGATGGATGTGCTTTGGAAGGGCTTTGCGTTTGTTCGGAAGATAGACATTGCAGTCCAAGTAAAGGGTACTTCTGCAAACCAGGACTTGTTTATAATGAAGCTAGAGTTTGCAGATATTCACCATCCTCATCCTCCAATCTTTGATGCTTTAGCAGATTGGTCCTCTGATTTTAAATTTTATTTTCAAAGAAATAATTTAGTAATTGGCTAATTGCAGAGAGAGACAACAATAGGCATTGCTAAAAGAAAGAAAGAAAAAACATATTCGATTCTAATAGTGTCATTCGTAACCTCGACTCGATATAAAATAATTATGATCAAAATTTAAAATATTTTTAAAAAAATAACAACAGACAACTTTAATGGGAGATAGAATTACTAATTAACCTTGTAAAGATTGTGCTTAAATCTATAAACCATTTCCTCTTTATTTTATACTTCATATGTGGTTAAATTTAAGCAAAAAAGCGTCAGAGGTCCTTGTATTTAAAAAAAACAATGTGACCCTCTTATTATTTTTTAATTTCAATGTGGCCCTCCAACTAAAAAAAAAACCCAACGTTTTTTCGTCGTTGACCGTTACAGTGATGATGTTACAGTTCGTGATGCTAACATAATAGTCTACGGTGCTGACATGACAATCCAGGGTGACAAATTAACGTGACTGATGACATGACGTATTAGCTAAATTGATAACTCAAATAAGACAGATGGACTGTCACTTTCCCATGTCAACACAGTGAACTGACACGCCAGTACTATAATGGTCAACGACGAAAAATGTTTGTCGAAGGGTCTCTTTGAGTTTATTTTCTGAGTTGGAGATTCACATTGAGAGAAAATAATACGATGACCAAATTGATTTTTTTCAGAAGTACAGGGGCCTTTGATAGATTTTTACCTTAAATTTATCTCCTAAAATTATGTACTTGGTCAACACAATAAAAATAATGGAATGGAAGGAGTAATCAACATAAATTTTTATACCGAAACAAAGCTTTCATCATCCTCAAATTCTTTCTCCAATTTAGTAATCAACATGGGATAGCACAAGAAAAGTGAAGAGAAACACACTACAAAACTAATACTATATATATATATATATATATATATTTACAGCTGAATAAATTGGTAACAACAAAGGGTATACTATCCCTGTAGGGGGCATTATATTTGACTGATTGCCTGTTCTGTTTGAACTCTCAATAAATAGCTCAACAATGGAGCATATACCAACTTATTTAAATCACAAACACACTTCTGAGTACTAATAAAGGGTAATGTTTAGGTTTTACAAACACTATTTCAGGACAACACCAGCATACAACATGGAGTACTTTCAGTTGGTATGTTAAGGAAGAGCGTGCAGGGGTCGAGGCTTACGCGAATATTTACAGGCCTTACCGTGGATGTAACTTCGTTTTTTTTCTTTTATGTCCTCGGGCTTGGAAATGGAGATTGCGAGTGCGAGTAGAACGGTATTAGTTTGAGTGGTAAATATGGTCGCTAATCTTTGTTTTGCAATGTCGAAGGAGGTGACTCGGATTTTTCCTGCAGAAGATTAAGATAGGTCAGATACTGATTGAAGAATTCAGGTAGGGGGGTGCAAGGGAAGAGATCGATTCGTAACCAAAATGAAGTCGAAAAAGCATTCTGAGATGCTACCAGGAAATATAAATGTATCATGAAATTCGATTTCGTGGAAGCTCTTTTCTAACTGTAAGCTTCCTTTGACGTTTGTGTCCGGCCAATTTTGCCGAGCCAGACGAGGGAGCTTTTTCCCTTCCGAATTTTAGGTCTTCGCTACCGATCATGTACATATTTCCAGCTCCAGGCACAGAAAAATCAGCAGGGTTTCTATTAATGCCGCAGATTCCATTCTCTGAACCACTTTTTGGATGGAAAAGAGTACCACTCGAAGTATGGCCCTTCTGCTTCCATTTTGTTGCACACTCCATTTCACGAAGTTTATCGGAAAACATCATAAACTCTGAATTTCCAAGTGCCAGTTTTGGCATACTATGAACGGGAATAGATCCACAAGTTGTACTTAAGCCACTATTTGAAGGTGCAGCTTTTTTAGATTTGTGGTTTTTATTCCACCCTTGTGAATCCGAGCATTTTTTCTTCACCTTTTCTCTAGACTTCAGTGAAAACTGACCTGAAAATTCAGGTGCTTTCTCGAAATGTTTATCATGCTGGAATGAAGAGGTAGAAGGACCAACTGCTGCAGTGGCTGACATACACTCACAGAAACTCCCAAGGTAAGTGGCTTTTACCGTAGCAATCAAACGATGAATGTTTCATTGAATTGGTTCTATATCCACCAGATGACGAGCTTGAAAAATCTTTAGAGTTTTGACGAGGAAGAAACGAAGTTTTCTTAACGAACCTTTGGTTTCCATCAACATCAACAGGTTCCCCTGACTGTAACCCTGCATCCATAAGGCTGAGTAAATGCATGGCTGGTATGGTTTCATTAGAATACAGATCTAACGACCCTGTCCCGTTATGTTTGCAAGAAAAACGGGTAATCTGCATGTGTCCTTCTGAGGGCTTCGGAATCGAACTTCCTACATTGCTTCTCATAGTTTGAACCCAGATTCAAGAAGCTCCTATCATCATTCCGACTCATATTTACCTTAGGTAGACTGCTGGGGCAATGTCTGGGCACATCTAACTTTGTCACCTGATCGGCACACTTGTGTGGGATGCTAGGCATGTAGGGCATGCTGTACGGCATCATGGATGGCCATAGGTGAGCCGCTTCCTTGTTCTGCTGTGGAGATCTATGGCATGTGTTACAAACTGCCAACACCTGCAGATTAGCATGAGAAGTCTTCTGTGCGGCCATATTTCCAACCCACTGGCAATTTTGAGCACTGTTTTTCTCGATGGAATTGGTCGCAGAAAATTGGACTCCATTCAACGGCTTCTCTCCACATAGAGGAAAAGACTTAAAGCCTGCAGGGGAATAACTTTGTTCCAATTGGCTCATGCTGCACTGGTTTCGATCCATATGTGAGAAATAATCCACTGACTTTTGTTTACTAGATCCCCCATTATCCCCTCTTAAAAATTTGTCAATTCTTCCGTTTTTAGCTTGAAGTTTCGGTTTATCAGCGGTCTCTTGAAACAGGTTCATCTCTTCATTTCCATATGCTTTATTGAGATCCACCATCTGATGATTTTTGGCGTTACTGGTTTCCCGCAGCTGTTTATCAATTTCAGTATCAGGAAGACACCTTTCATACTGATTCTTTGCCATGAGTTCAGCAATTTCCATTATGTCATCTACAGCTCCTTGCTCGGATGCTATTTCAACACGTTTATCATAATGTTCCCGAGAAACTGTTGCATGGTCCTGAAACTCCACAATTGTCCCATTGTTTCTTGTACCACTGAAATCCTGCAAAAGAAACGGACAAGATGGGAGAAAAACAACCTCTCAGTTTAACCGAAACATGGGGAAAACAGAAAACAGATGCATTAATTAGACGGATTATTCCTCATTACTTGGGAAATGTCTTCCATAAAGTTCACATGATTGCTTATGTTTAATCAGTGCTAACATACATGCCATCTTCAAAATTATAAGCAAGAATACTACTAAGTTTTCATATCTAAGATGGTATGAGCTTATATCAGAACCATAATTTTGATGTGACGGCTACGGACGGAAGCAAAAGTAGTTTAGAAGTCTAAAGAACTTAGGATGATTTCATACCTAACCTTTGCAGATACTTATTCTGAGGAAACACTTACGGTCAGAGTAAGCATAAAGATAAAGCTTCAGTTTTCCATCAGAATAAGCATGCACGCATATCAAAGTTCTCGATTATGTGAACCGCTTTTCTGTACCTTTCGGAGTTTTATAACTGGTTCAAGAAAAGAGAATGTTTTTGGCTCAAAAGCAACAATAAAGTTTAATCTGAAAACTCCAGAAACTTTGCTCTAAATGTTCATCATAACCTGAATATTTCAGGCATGTCAAAACTGAATGTAAATAAAACATGGTTACATAGGAAGAAGATCAAATTGCGGAAAAGATCACACAAACTGTTCTGCAACAAATATCTTGTGAATATATTCGATTGTTCATGTTAGATGCCAGTTCAACTACTTTAGAACAGAACAAAAGCCCATACCATTAGCTGAATCAAAGAACTCCCAACTTCAGCAGGAGATCTTTCCTGCTTCTCTTTCAGGAACGGTGTTCTGTACGTGGTTTGATTACTGTTGAGATCAACATGCATTCCCTTCCAAACGTAGGCATCAGCTTGAGAAACATAGTTCATGTTTAGATCTTTCCTCTTGGTATCGTATCCACTGAGAACATGCCCTTGTCCTTCTCTAATTGGAGAGCTATATTTTGCATCGTATCTTTTAACAGGCAAGCAATTACTAAGAGAAGATTGCAGTCCATTTTCAGTTACTTCAAGCGGAAAAGCTACATTCCCAGTTTGGCTTATTTCTACATCTTTTCCTCGAAATCAGACCTTCTCTGGGAATGCCATTGTTCCAAGGAACCCGAGAAGCTTGCCAATCATGATCTTGATGAATCTTGTTCTTTTTCTTCAACAGGTTAGATTTTTTCTCTGCCTTCGCAGCAAATTCAGGAATGGGATTTAACCATCTGCTTGTAGATACATCATCAGTCTTAGGGGTATCTCCGCGGGGCTTTTTCTGTCTTTCCTTCTGCACATTTTCTCGAGACAGACGCAAGGACGGAAATTCTTCAAAGTCATGGGTCTTTTTATTTTTCTTCTTTCCTAGAATAGGACTTTTATCTACTTTATCGTTAACCAAATTGCTCTTTGCTGGAGTCTGTGAGCTGCTTCTGTTAATTGTACCTTCTGAATCAGAACTTGTGATTCCATCAGCAGTTTCTGCATCTCTGTTGAAGGACTTAAGGCTTCTATGCCCATTGCTTGGAGAGCACATAAACTCCCCAGGAACCCATTCTTCATCCTGCGGCATCTTTCTTTTCTTTCTACGAGCCAAACTGCTTGTAGCATTTCCTTGGAAATTGACCTGACCTTGGGAAGCAGGTATTGAATCTATGCCTATTGATGCATCAGGAATGGTACTGGATGGAGAATCTTCGGTACTCGTGAGATCAGTTTTTTCATCTTTGCTTTTACCCAACAATTCAGTCAGTAGACGCACCTTACGGTTTTTTCTTCGATGTAAGCTGCCA